AAACTCAGCGAGTTGTTTGAAGTGAATACAGGTGTGAGACAAGCTGGCTACATATTATCAGCGATGATATTCCTAATCGTGGTGGACTGGATTATGAGTCAAACTGTTGGTGGCTAGGAGTCAGGAATACGCTTGACGACCGATAAAAAGACTCTAGAAAATCTGGCTTTCGCAGATGACAAATGTCTTATGTCACACAAACTCGAAGACTCGCATGCAGGAGAAAACCAACAAACTGGCTGAAGAAGCAGGTAGCGAAGACAGGACTTCAAGTGAACAGAGAAAAGACGGAGGTGATAAAGATGATCAGTTAACATCAACAACAACCAGTACCAATCACCATCAACGGGAAAGATTTAACAGAGGTTGTCTCCTTCACTTATCTAGCCAGGAAGCATCGTTTCAACCGCAGGTTGGCGGAAGGGATGAAGACGTCAAAGTCAGAATCGAAAAGGCAAGATACGCCTTCATCAACCTGAAACCAGTCCGGAAATCTTCTGCACTACACTCAGCGTTAGGAACAAGATTCTCATTTTCAACACCGATGTGAAGTTTGTTCTTCCATACGGGTCAGAGAGTTGGCGACCGTGTCACGAAAAGGATTTCCAACAGTCAGATGAGGAATTTCACCAACAGCTGCCTTCACTCCATATTGAAGATCAAATGGCCAGAAAGAATAAGCAACAAGAAACTCTGCAGTGGAACAAACCAGAGGGCGAGAGCAGATTGCTCAAAAAATATACAGGAGAAAGTGGAGATTGATGGGGAATACATTGAGGAAGCCACTGAATTCCATGACACGCCGGGCCATCTCTTGAGTGAAGTCAAACAAGGCCGGTATTGACGTAAGTCTGTCCACAGTAGCATATTTCGTTACGCGCTGTGTCTGAAACATATTTAAAAGCGCTTATTTGACATAAGGTTTGAAAATCCGAATGATTGTTCTTTATGCTGAGTGCAACATATTTCAATACCGATTTTGTAGTGGATAATGAAGGTTTGTCTTGGTTTATTGATCTTAATGGCTTTGACATTCCCATCTACGCCACCTGTCGTTAAACAAATCTATTTGTTGTTGTCTGAACGTAGGAGACAACTCAATTTATTCTTCAGTGTATTAATTATTCATTTATTATTTCATTCGTTTTGCGTTCTGAGTGGACCATGGGGCTTCAGGCATCAGCTTTGAAGATTCAGTAGCAGTGCTGTTTTCACAGGATGGTGTTGCTAGCCTCACGTCCAACTTTCCATCTTTGTTGATGTTTTAAGTGACTAGTTGTGGTAAAGGTGTGTGCCCTACGGAGAGTGAACCACGGACCACATGCATGGTTGATGAGCACGATACCGCTGAACTGCTTACTCGCCGTCCTACTGCAAAACCAAAGGAATTACCTCGAGTAATGCACAGTCACACAAATTCCTCAACGACGGCAAAAATACAGTTGTTTCAGATAAAATTCACGTTACTGTTTAACAATAATAACACGAAAAACCCGAAATTACCACAAGAGTACCGTTAAGCTAATACACAGCTTAGAGAGGTTTGCAGTATAAAATGAGTAGTGTAGAACAAAATTAGGCAATCCAAATTCAACTGTGAGAAGTATCTGAGAGTATTTCCAACAAGGTGAGATCAATACGCCGTTATTAAGAATCCCACACACACACCTCTCACAGACAGTCCAAGGTCAGAATGAACATCTTTCACTCCAAATCACATTACAATACAATACATTTTCAAGGTGTCGCATTTATGTATTTACAACAGTAGATGACGTTTGGTCCTTGGATGTGATGGGTCTGTTTCCACAGACGTCTTGTGGCAATCAGTACCTGTTGGTGGTGACAAAAGACGCCATCACGATCCCTGATCAACGCCCGGGAACCGTGACTGACGCAGTTGTTCGACACATCGTTGAAGATCGCTGTGTACCAAAGACCATCTTGACAGATGGGGACCCTTGTTTTGAAAGTCAAGAATTCACTTCCCGCTTGCTACAGTTGGGTATCAAGAGGATCATAAACAACACCATATCATCCACTAACGAGTGGTCTGATAGATAGAAATAACCGTACCCTGAAGGAGTGGCCGGGTTAGGGTTTAGGGCTCGCTAATTAGGCGAGAAGATGCGTCACTTGGGAGAATCGTGTATGGAAAAAGCACATGCACACACTTATTTAGATACGTGCCCATTAAATATAAAAAAATGTTGATAAATGTCTTACGAACAGAGCAAGAAAGATATATTCAGATGACCCCTTACAAAAAGAATTTGAATATATTCATGATTCCTTGACGGAGATGGGGTATCCCAGTGGTTTTGCAAAGAAACATATGAAAACATCAGAGAGAAAACCTGAGACTATGACAGCACGGAGGAAACCTCTATTAAGTTAATGGTGACTTGTCAAGTAAGATTTTTTTCCGAAAACTTTCAGAGTATAAAAAGAACGTTTTACACAGCAAACCTATGTTTTTGGTTCTCTAGCCAACGAATGATTGGAACGCAAACGAATGATAAGCTAGATAGTTTTGCCACATCTATGTGCATTTATCAATTCAGCTGCAACTGTGGTGACAGTTATGTTGGGCGCACTACTGAACAGCTTAGCAAACGTGCCATTATTGAATATCTCTCATCATGGTTTATTGTATTATTATTATTGTTCCTTTGGGTTCCTAGTGGAACATAGGGCTTCAACTGCACGTCTCCACTTGCTTCTGTCTTCTGCTGTACTTTTCACTTGCGTCCATGTTATTCCATACTGTTTCATCTCCTCCTCACACGATCTCCTCCATGTCACCCTTGGACGTCCCACTCGCCGCTTCCCTTTCGGGTTCCACTCGAGGGCCTGAGGCATCATGGTTTGACAAATTATTATTATTATTTCCTTTAGTTCCTAGAGGAACATAGGGCTTCAGCCATGCGTCTCCATTGCGTTCGGTTCTCTGCTAGAGTTTTCACCTGGCTCCAGGTCTGCCCACATGTTTTCATCTCCTCTTCACATGATCTCCTCCAGGTCACCGTCGCACTGACGACCAACTCGTCGCTTCCCTTTCGGGTTCCACTCGAGGGCTTGTCTAGTGATGTCACTTGCTGGTTTCCTCAGAGTGTGGCCAATCAACCTCCATTTCTTCCTGCCTATTTGTTTCACAATCGGTTCCTAGTTGGTTCGCTCCCAGAGATCCCTGTTGCTGATCTTTTCTGGCCGGCCATCTGATCTTGAGTATTGAGCGAAGACAACTGTTAATGAAGGTCTGTAGCTTGTTTGAGGTGCTTTTTGTGACACGCCAAGTCTCTGATCTGTATAGTAGTATTGACTTCACATTGTAGTTGAAAATCCGGATCTTATTTTTGACGCTGAATGATGTTGACCTCCACACAGACTTGAGAGTAATGAAAGCTTGCCTTGCTTTCCCGATCCTTGCTTTGATATCCTCGTCAGATCCGCCTGTCGTTGAAATAATGCTTCCCAAGTAGGTAAAGGAGGTTGTTTCTTTCACGTTCTTTCCATTTATGCTGATTGCTGTCTGTTGTTGTTGTTGTTGGTGTTGGCCAGGGATCTTCATCACCTCCGTTTTCTCTATGTTCACCTGGAGTCCTATCTTTGATGCTTCTTCTGCCAACTTGTTACTTTTCACTTGCATATCTTCCTGTTTGTGGGAAATCAGACATATATCATCGGCGAAGTCCAGATCCTCCAAGTTCTTTGTGTGAGTCCATTTTATGCCTGTTTCCTCATTGCCCAGTTTTTGTCGAATTATTCAGTCTACTGCAACCTTAAAAATCATTGGCAATAATAGGCAGCCTTGTCTTACTCCTGTCCTCACTTCGAAGTATTCCGTGAGCTTCCCGTTGTGGATTACTTCGCATGCAGCGTTGTCGTACAACTGTTGGATGAGATGTATAATTGTCGGTGGCACCCCGTAGTAACGAAGTAGTTTCCAAATCACCTCTCGATCGACGCTGTCGAAAGCCTTTTCAAAGTCGATGAAGTTGAGATACAGAGGTGACTGCCATTCCAAACTTTGTTTAATGATGATCCGTAGTGTGGCGATTTGATCAAAGGACAGATAAAAATAATCCGTGACTCAACTTTGTCACATTTGTTCGCTAGTGGTCATGTAGTGGAGAAAACGATAGTTTTCAAAGTAATCCACACTGATCCACCGAATCTTTCAAATAGACTTAGTATTCGTCTACTGCACACAGCTGAGGCAGGTGATAGGCATTCGAACTATTAAACCTAAACTATGCATTCAAAAGAAGTTCGTACAGCCATTATCCCCCCCCCTCTTGGCCTATTAAGACATTACCAAGTGATAGATTCTCCACCATCACCTACTTATATTTTCAACCCCTCTCTTTTCATACCTTAATCTTATCACATCTTCATTAAAACGTATTTTATTTACTTCCTTTACAATCTGAAATTACTTAATCGGTTCATTTGTTTTTACTAGCCTTTATCGACTACTACTGCGTGAACATTTGTTTGTTTAATCATGCTGTTTTTCATTATTCGTGTAATTACAGATTGCCTCACTTTTTCATCCTTATTATTGATAAAACCAGTATTATTATTACGACTAATTGCACAATTTATATTCACAATCTTATTATCTATCCTATGGACAAAACACCGTGATTGGTTTATATATTTGAATATTTCTTTGTAAAGTTATGTGTGTATATTAGAGTTAAGCCTGATGAGATCTAAATGAAAATAATTTGTGTTAGTATCCACTGTACTTTCCTCCAAAATGTCAACATACACCCTCTACCTTTGAACTGGTTATCTGGTATACAGATATCTGTCGTTTCACTTAAACTATGTAGATTAGAGTAAAGCTCGAGTGAAGATCTAATTAAAAACTAAAACACGATATTCTTCGTTTATGCGTCTTGTATCAGTTTTAATAATGGGAATGTTCAATGATTTGAAGTGCAAGCAAGACTGCGTTTGTTAAAATGAATTTATTCTTAAAACTCTAAACTTTATTTATGAAATTGAATGTTTAATATATATTCTTTAAGAAAACTACATTAAAGAAAGAATGTTTATGTGTTAACATTACGAGGATAATAGGTGTCCGGTGTTCTTCAGATTATCTCCTTGAAATGGTCTCAGGTCACTGTATGAAAATAAGATAAGATAGGTTAATTTTGAATAAATATCAAGAAATGTATCAGTATAGAGTGTATTCTAGCTGAATAATCATTATTACATTATTATTGTTTCCTTTAATTCCCCTAGAGGAACACAGAACTTCAGCCGCAGGTCTTCATTGCGTTCGCGGTTCTCTGCCAATGTTTTCAACTGACTCCACGTATTCCTATATGCTTTCATCTCCTCGCCACATCACCTAATCCTCCATGTTAACCCACCTTCGCACTGACGACCAACTTGTTGCTTCCTATTCGGGTTCCACTCGAGCGACGGCCCGTCTTGTGATTGCACTTGGTGGTTTGTTTTTTCAGAGTATAGCCAGTGCACCTCCATTCTTTCTGCAGATTTTTTGCACAACCGTTTCCTACTGGGTTAGTTCGTACGTTCCAAGAGATCCCTCACCACTGCTGATCTTTTGTGACTGGCCATCTGAGTTTGAGTATTGAGCGAAGATAGCTGTTGATGAAGGACTGTAGTTGGTTTGAAGTGCTCTTCATGACGCGCCAAGTCTCTGATCTGTATAGTTGCACTGACTTTACACTGAAGTTGAAAAGCCGGATCTTATTAACTCTTTCATGCTGAGTGCTGTTGACCTCCACACAGACTTGGTGATAGTAATGAAAGCTTGCCTTGCTTTCCTGATCCTTTCTGCTTTGATATCCTCGTCAGTTCCATCCACCTGTGGTTGGAACGATGCTTATTGAGTGGATGGGCAGGTGAAGAAGGTTGCTTTCTTCAGATTTCTCCCATTTATGCTGAATAATACAATTATTCAAGTGTTGGTCTGTAGAGATGTGATGATTGGTTACAGGATTCCATCATGATGGGGTGATAACAGTTAGAAAACCATTGAAAAACTAGCTTGGCAGTAATGTTCTGCTGTTTCATCACCCAAGTTTGGGACTGTTCATCAGTACTCACCTGTCACGACCAAGGTTCGAACCCAGGATATTCCAATTGCACGGTAAGTTCGAAAACCTCTCAGTGAATAAAAGGCCTTTATACACCTGCCTAAAATATAAAGCGGACGACACAATAGCAATGACCAGCAGGTGACCTGAGAAATCGCTTGCTAGAACATTCCTTGAGACTAGATAGATTTCTCTCTTCCAGAAAACATATTCCTTAGTTCACGCAGAAGTCGACAGTTATCCTTACTTTACCAGCTTCAATTGTCTCTGTCAATTTAATAGGGTAGTCAATACTGACGTTAAGCATCAGCCGAGTACTAGGTAAGGAGGGCGAATCAATAGACGAGGCTGTGAAGCTATATCGACTGAGATGGTTAGGACATATGTAACGTATTCATCTCTAGCTATCGTCTTCCTCAACAATGAGCAATGTTAGGTGACATAGGGTCAAGTTAAAAAAGAGCTAGTTCTTGGTGGTCAAACCAAAGCATGGCTTCATCAGTCGACGAAATCCACAACAGTTAATTGACGCCAGCCAGTCACATTGGAAGGTGTAAACTTCTTGTTTTCAGTCCTCGAGACTGTACACACCAATGGCAAAAGACAATTGGTTATATGGCTCAAAATGTTTGTTCTCAATGGCAAGCGCAGATACATCCACTCCTTGTGACTTATAATATCCAATAAAGCTATATTCTTTTCCGATATTACTATTCTTTTTGACCCATATTTCTGTTTACTTTCTCTACTTTGGATATCGTTTCACTTTCCTCTCTTGCTTTGTGTGCTACATGTAGGGAGTGTGACAACTGCTGCACATCAGCGCAAAGTTCTTTGTTGAAATTAGTCAGTGAGTCAGTGTTTATCAATTTGCATTTGTGTTGAGATTAGGAGCGAGTGAATCTTGGAGTAGCGCAATTATGTGACATCTGATTGGCACATAACACCAAGTAGACAACTTGCATTTCTTTTAAGAAGAATAGTAAAACAAGCAAGCTCAGGTTTGTTGAAGTTCATAGAAGCCATCACTGTCAAACAGTTCTAAACTTGATTTATGTAATCAAAAGGAAACTGTAGTAATTCTTTCCCTAATTTGATAACTCCTCTTTCAAGTCCAACTGCTTCTATCATCTTTTTATTAGATGTTACGGTTGATTTCTTTTCACTCTTACGTAGTTATATTCTGATTTAATAAACTTAACACCTCATAAATCTGATATCGAACTAAATGAGCTTAACTCACAACAGGTTTTCATATCTCACCTGTTTATTAAGACGGACTTGTATTGTCTGAAGTTTAACCAGGAATAGAAATCAGTTGAAGAACCATTGAAAACCATCATGGAATAGTGGACTGGGAACTGTTTCGTCCAAGTTTAGGACTAATAGTCAGTACACATCAATCCGGGTTCGAACGCAGGACCACCAGATTACTAGACAGGCCTTTCAGACATTCAGATACAAGGACCAGGGATTATAAGACGGCTGTTTCGTCCTAGTTTGTGACTCTGGGGCGGGTATGCATTCATGACCTCAGCATTGATCGAATCGAGTAACATTAGGTCACAAGGCGAGCATATTAAACATACATCTATGGAGAAAGACACACAATGGTCCATTCCATCATGTTTAGCGTCATTATCGTGCACTGTCATATGTGAGTGTCTGTAGTGAACCATTGCAAAGTGGACCCTACTGCTTACTCTCAAGAAATCAGTGCTTGCCAATCCATTTTTATCAGACTAGATCAAACAGCAAAGGTAAATGCTAATATATCCGAATGGTGCTCTGTTTGATGTACAACTACTTATACTTCAACTTCGTCAGATATGTAAACGCCTTTGACAGAGTTGACTGCGAAGTAATTTGGATAATGCTTCAACACTACAGAATGAAGTGCTACAAACCTTTATCAGCCTCATTCAACAGCTGTATGACAATTTCAAATACCAAGTGATTCACAATTAAAAACTCAGTGATGCTTTTCAAGTGATGACAGGAGTAAAAACAAGACTGCTTACTACCCCAAAGGATATCTTTGATTTTGGTGAACGGGATCGTATGACACGAAGGGAGAACTCAGAGATACTTTTTTGGTGGGGAGGGGGACAAGAAGACTTAAGAGGATTTTGACTTTGCAGACGGTTTATGTCTAATATTACACAAGCTTGAATATCTTCGGGAGAAATCCAACAGACTCGCAGAAGAGGTAAGCAGTGGAGACAGGATTTCAAGTGAACATAGAGAAGACGAATGTGATGAAGTTAACCGACGACCACCATCACCTCCAGCACGAATCACTATCAACAGGAGGAATTTGGAGTAAGTCACTCCCTTCATTTATCGGGGGAAGTATCGTTCCAACTAAAGGTGACAGTACGAATGAGAATTTCAAACTCAGTCAGTTCTTCTACATCGTTCACAGAGTAACCACGTCTCTAAAAGCATATTGAGCAGGCTTGAGAACTTCATCAGTGGCTGCTTTCGCTCCATCCTCCAGAAGAGATGCCCAGTCAGCAAGCATTAGCAGCATGGAACTCTGGAAACGAACCAGTCAGGAACCTGCCGCTTAACAAAGATTTCCGAAGGAAATCACGTTACTATGGAGAATGCCGGGTGATTTCGTGCATCAAGGCGTAGGATGGAATCCTAAGTGGACGAATTAGTTTTCTGAAGGTGACATGAAGGAAGTAGTTTGACGTGGAGATGACAGGCGTTTAGATTTTCTTGGGAGCAGATGAAGAGGACTGCGAAGAACAAGAGAAAATGGAGACACGTTGTTGAATTCCAATGTTCCGACTCGTTAAACAAGGGGATAATATTTATGCCATATTTGGAACACTGAAATGAAATGAGAAACAAGCAATTCTAGCAACAACAACACAAAACAATTATTCGTACAAACATACTTCATTTTTTGATTTCTTCATCCATGGCACGTTTCATTTCAGTTATTCTTTCATTTTTAGGCATTGCTAAATATTCAGTTGAGATGATGATTAGCATTCATATTATATATGTCCAAACCAAGTTCACTTTTAACAGTGTAAAAACATTCGGGCATTGGGTTTATAATATTCATTAAAATAAATGTTTTCTTGTGTTTCCCAATGAATGAAAAACAAAACGATATTGTTTTTACTGACGTTTCGCTATTTAATGTTGCTGCTAATAGCTTTATCGAAGTATTATTAAACCAGAATTTACAAAATCTCAGCATATATATAACAAATAGTTAAGAGGTCAGAAAATAGACTTAGGTAAAGTTAAAAGGACACATTGAAAGTTAAAATACCAATGAAGATCACTAAATCTAATAAAGAAGGTAATAGTCCATCTGTTATAGCCATCGTTCTTTATTCTGGGGTCATTTTTCGTTGTCAAGTTGATCATTTGGTGAAGATAACAAAATCAAGTGTAGATCGTTGGATTTGATCAGTGTTTAAAATTAAAAAAGCAGTATGTGTTTACTGAGTGAACTCGCATATCACATTCGTGTTGATTCTGTCACTTCATGGGGGAGGGAGGTGTTGTAACCAGGTCAGATTCTGTTTTAGTCCATCATTCCTATTCAGGCAATTTGGATTCCACTTGATATGAAGTGCTTCTGATATTAGACATTCTTTGTGATTTCTGAAGTGCTTTCTTTTGGCTCATTTCAATATTGTTGAAATCAATTTTGTGGCCTGATTCTATAGCTTGTAGACCTATGGCTGATGATTTTTCAAGGTTTTCTAGTTCAACCGGATTTCTCGATGGTCGACCAGATGCTCTAAGGTGTTCATTTCCTCTGATTTTGATTTCTCGAGATGTTTTTCCGAAGTATATAGCATCATATTCCAAGCAAGCATCTTATTTTATATATAATAGAGAAGATTTGTAGCTCAGGTGGATGATTTTGGTGTGGTTGTGTTCTCTGAGCTGGATGGTTTGGTTGCGAAGCTTTCATTGCTCTACTGAGCAACATCTTCAGCGCATACTTCGATGTGAAGTGAGCTTTTAGAATTCTCTATGAGTTTATTAGTCATCTCTTCTAGTAACCTTGAACGTGATTGGTTGTTTTCGTGTGACATTTCATCCCCTAGTTTGCTTGTCTCGGTGCTGGCTGCTTCTTTGGTCTGAATGTCGTTAGTCATTCCTTCTGCTAACCTTGAACGTGGTTGGTTGTTTTTGTGTGACTTCTCACTTTCTAGTTCACTTGTTTTGGTGTTGACTGTTTCCTTGACCTGAAGTTTGACTTTGTTTTTGTGTGAATTTCTTTGTATGGATTGGTATATTTTGTCAATCTCTATGTGTCTATTGATTGCTGATTCATTTGAATACCAGGCCTCTAGGAATTCTCTGGCATTTTTGCAGTTCCCTTTGTCTAAGATTTGAACATTGTCCCAGTCGAATTGGTGCCCGTGGTTGTCTGCATGTAGTGATATGAGGGAGTGCATGTCGTGTCTTTTGACAGCTAGTTTGTGTTCGTGAATGCGAAGACGAAGAGGGCGTCCACTTTGACCAATGTAATGTTTGTCGCAGTCGTTGCAATTTATCTTGTAGATGACGTTAGTTTTGTCTTCTTTTGCCGTTGAGTCCTTTGGCTTACATAGAACTGTGTGTAGTGACTTTGTTGGTTTATGAGCGACATCGATTCCAAAAGGTTTGAATAGTCTTGCAGTGATTTCGGAGATATCTTTTATATATGGTAGGACGACTTTCTTTGTGTTTTCGCTGGTGGCCTTTGATTTGGTTGGTTGAGCTGGGGGTAAATGTCTTTTGATGAAGTTTCGTGGGTATCCATTTCTTTGGAAGACGTCCATAAGATGATTTTCTTCAATTTTCCTCAAGGCGGGAGTGCTGCAATGAGTCCTGGCTCTCTTGAACAATGTACGTATGCAGCTAATTTTGTGTGATGTTGGGTTGTTACTGTTGTAATTGAGTATTTGATCCGTGTGCGTTGGTTTTCTGTATACTTGGGTTTCTAATTTTCCTGTAGTTGTTCGTTTGATTAAGACGTCTAAGAATGGGATTTTGTTTTCATATTCTTCCTCTCTTGTGAATTTGATGTCGTTGAAGGTGTTGTTTATTATGTTGTGGGTATTGTCTAAGTTTTCTCTTTTGATTATCACGAATGTATCATCTATGTAGCGTATCCAAATTTTCGGTTTGATCTTTGGCAGAATTATGTTTTCCAGTCTTTGCATGACGGCTTCCGCAATCAATCCTGATATGGGTGATCCCATAGGTGTCCCTTGAATTTGTTCATACATTTGGCCGTTGAATTGGAAATAAGTTGTGAGACACAAGTTTATGCATTCTATCCAACTTGAATGCTGCATTTTTGATTGTTGTATGTGTTCGTCGTTGTTGAGTAGTTGTTCCATGGTTTCTTTTGCTAGTTTTAGTCCAATCGAAGTATATAATGCCGTGACGTCGAAGGATACCATTATTTCTTGGCTGTCTATTTCAATGCCTTTGATTTTCTCTAAAAATTGGGTCGCAGATTGGATGGAGTGATCACATGATTTCGTCAAGTGTTTCAGTCTTCTGTATAGTTCTTTGGATAAATTGTATGTTGGGGTTCCTGGGAGTGATACGATTGGTCGTAGAGGTATATTTGGCTTGTGTATTTTTGGTCTGCCGTAGAATCGAGGTATGACGGGTCCATTGGATTTCATTCGCCATTGATCTTCTTTTGTGATCTGACCCGTTTTGGTGAGTTTGCTTAGGGTTCTTTGGATGCGGTTGTTTAGTGTTTCGATGGGGTTTGTTGTTAGTTGTTGGTATATTGTTTGATCTTTGAGTAGTTCTTCCGCTTTTGCAGTGTATTCTTCTTTGTCCATGATTACTGTAGTCCTTCCTTTGTCAGCTGGTACTATAACGATATCTTTCCTGTTTTTCAGTCTTTTGAGGGCTTTTTGTTCTTGTGAGTTGAGTTGTGTGTGTCGTTTTCTTTGTTTAACTATAGGCACTATTGTTTGACGTATCTCTTCTTGTGTTTCTTCACTTAATTTTGATGATTTGAGTGTTGATTCAAGAGCAGCGAAGAAGTCTGTTTTCGAGGCGTCTTCAGTGTTGTAGTTTAATCCTTTTTGAAGTAGTTGTTGTTCCATTTTTGACAGCGGCTGTTTTGATAAATTGACTACGCAATCAATTGGTGTATTGTTCGGCTGTTGTTTTTTTGATTTTGGTTAGCTTGGTTCTGAGAACTTTTCGTCTACGTTCTCTGTGTCTACTACTTGTCAGTGCGATTGCGGTGATCGTTGTTGAAAGGTGTTCTTGGCTGAGGATTTTCTCTAGTTTCTCTTTTTCAAAGTCCATTATTTGTTGATATTTCTTGATTCTATAATGTGCATCTGTAATCATTAGTTTAACCATTTTTCTTCCACATTGTTCAGCTAATTTCCATCCCATTGGGCAGTTGATTGGTGGCTTATATCTCACGCTGGTTGGTAGAATTTGATGACGAAGGCACTCATGGAGAAAAAATAGTTGTTCTCTGGTGGATCCTTGCCGTTTGGCGAAGTCTTCCCACTTTCGAACAGAAAGAAGCGTGTTCCGCTCGTATGATTTAGATATAATAGAGAAGATTTGTAGCTCAGGTGGATGATTTTGGTGTGGTTGTGTTCTCTGAGCTGGATGGTTTGGTTGCGAAGCTTTCATTGCTCTACTGAGCAACATCTTCAGCGCATACTTCGATGTGAAGTGAGCTTTTAGAATTCTCTATGAGTTTATTAGTCATCTCTTCTAGTAACCTTGAACGTGATTGGTTGTTTTCGTGTGACATTTCATCCCCTAGTTTGCTTGTCTCGGTGCTGGCTGCTTCTTTGGTCTGAATTTCGTTAGTCATTCCTTCTGCTAACCTTGAACGTGGTTGGTTGTTTTTGTGTGACTTCTCACTTTCTAGTTCACTTGTTTTGGTGTTGACTGTTTCCTTGACCTGAAGTTTGACTTTGTTTTTGTGTGAATTTCTTTGTATGGATTGGTATATTTTGTCAATCTCTATGTGTCTATTGATTGCTGATTCATTTGAATACCAGGCCTCTAGGAATTCTCTGGCATTTTTGCAGTTCCCTTTGTCTAAGATTTGGACACGACATGCACTCCCTCATATCACTACATGCAGACAACCACGGGCACCAATTCGACTGGGACAATGTTCAAATCTTAGACAAAGGGAACTGCAAAAATGCCAGAGAATTCCTAGAGGCCTGGTATTCAAATGAATCAGCAATCAATAGACACATAGAGATTGACAAAATATACCAATCCATACAAAGAAATTCACACAAAAACAAAGTCAAACTTCAGGTCAAGGAAACAGTCAACACCAAAACAAGTGAACTAGAAAGTGAGAAGTCACACAAAAACAACCAACCACGTTCAAGGTTAGCAGAAGGAATGACTAACGACATTCAGACCAAAGAAGCAGCCAGCACCGAGACAAGCAAACTAGGGGATGAAATGTCACACGAAAACAACCAATCACGTTCAAGGTTACTAGAAGAGATGACTAATAAACTCATAGAGAATTCTAAAAGCTCACTTCACATCGAAGTATGCGCTGAAGATGTTGCTCAGTAGAGCAATGAAAGCTTCGCAACCAAACCATCCAGCTCAGAGAACACAACCACACCAAAATCTTATTTTATAGACAAAATTCGATAGATAAACTTTGAAGAATTGGTCTTTCATATGGACAAATTTGCTTCACAGTGTGTCTGATATTTTGAAGTAAACGTTGATGTTGTGCTTATTGAGTACTCTTCTAATATCATCTGACGTCTCTGCTCTATAGAGAGCGACATCTGTTGAGGTCCATGTTTCCGGAATACGTTTTTGATCAGACTTCATATCAGTGTTGATTTTGTTGATGTAGTTCTCTGGGTAGTTGTTTTGTTTGAGAGTCTCTGTGATGTGCAATATTTCTTCTTCCATTTCTTTGTCATCCGTCATCAAAAGTGCACTCGTCTTAGAAGACGTCAAACAACTGATACCTTTCCGATGGTGGGGTTTGATAATCCGAAGTCTAAATATTTATTGGAGTGGGTTTCCTTCCTGAATATAGGCATATTAAAATATCCGTCTTCCCTCCTCTCAACTAGGCAAGCAGTCAAGAAGTGGTAGTTCACTGACGTCTGATTCTGCTTCCGAAGTAAACTGGATTCTGAGAGATAGGTTGTTAAGTTTGCCAAAGAATGAACTGTGTAGATCTCGTTTTAGCACTACAAAAGTATCATCTACATATCTTAACCATATTTTAGGAGTGAGTATGCTTGAAAAGATGTTATCATCGAATCTATTCATGAAAAGGTCAGCGACGCTTGAGGAGACTGGTGAAGCCATAGCAACACCATTTGTCTGTCTACATAATTTCCCTGTAAATGTAAAATAATTACTTTCTAGACAGAATTACAAGCTCTTAATTATTTCGTTTGTGTCCAGTGGACATCTTTGTGGTAGCGTTGTATCTGATTCTAGAAGACTGGAAATGATATCAAGACTTTTGGGTGATAGAGATACTAGTATATAATGAGTTATTATCATGGCTCACCATAATGTTTTCTTTATCGATGTTTCGGTGTTCTATTTGGGATTTGAAATCATATGAATTGCTTACAATATTTTGAGTGTCCTTTTGTAGTGGTTTTATTATCGACAGTAAGTATTTAGATAGGTTTTATGTCGGTGAGTTGGTGAAATCTATTACTGGTCCCAATGGAATTGTGGGTTTATGTATCTTTGGTTGACCGCAGAATCTTGGAGTTACACAAGATTTTGGTTTTAGTTTAAACCAAAGAGAATATCCAATTTTGGGTTTCATTTCTTGAAGGAGTCTGTTTGTATTTAGTTTCATTTTATAGAATTCGGTGGATTTCTTCTTCTCTTTAATAATACTTTGATGAAGCTATTAGCAGCAGCATTAAATAGCGAAACGTCAGTAAAAGCAGCAATATCGTCTTGTTTTTCATTCATTGGGAAATACACAAACCTTTATTATAGTGAATAGCATTCATATTAATTATGAATATTGAAAACTTACTTTTTAAGTATTTAATTCTTAGAACTTCAAGGTTAATGACTTTGTGTTTTAAATCCCCTTGAATGAAGAGAAATTTAATAATAATAATAATAACAGTAATAATTTGCATTATTCCAAAACAGCATTGATGATACAGTGAGGAATTCTCAGAATTTTCTTCAATCTTGTCTTTCTAACTTCCGCGACAAAGCAAAGACAAAAATCAAGCAAAATAATATCACAGGATTGATAATGGCAGTTGTTTCGGGATTTTGATTGACAGTAAAATCAAAAATGTACAGAGGCGTAGAACAATGATGATGATAATAATAATATTGCGAATGGTTAAGTTAACATTTGATTGTAATATTGTTGTAACGACAGAAGAAAAAGGCCAGGCAACAAATCGTTTATTGAGAAAGTCAAGAGATATTTATACACTTTTATGTGCATTATTATTAGCGTTATTGCTAACGGTAATTCTGTTATCTGTTTGTGGCCGTTTCTTAGAAATTTAAGCCATTTAGCTGCGAATAGTGTTTCCATACTTTAACTCCGCTGTGATTGGCTGTTGATTTTCCCAATCAAATTACCCACTGCAGTCCTACAGGAGGTCAATCGCAAGTCCTAATAGCTCAGTGGTAACGTCTCTTACTGCAGGTAGCACTAGGAAACGCGGGTTTAAATTTCAGAAGGGACATGAGTTCCTTCAAGGTTATCGCAGATACGCCTTGCTGACTGACTGATGCATGCCAACTAGAACGAAACCTAGGTTCAAAGCTTCCTGTCGATTGCCTCCGACTATCTAATATCAGCAAAGTTGTAGAGTCATTAGATAAGACTAGACAAGTTACATTTCATCATAAGTCCATTGGAGTAGTTTCACAGTGCTAGACTGATTGACAAAAACTACTATTTCATCATTCTCAGGCAAAACTATCTAGTTCTTGTGACAAGGCGTATTGTATATTCTTAAGACAATCAAATTGAAGCGAAAAATATTGTGTTTCCAATTAGATTTCATCAGGCCTAATTAACTATAACATACCTATATAACTTTAAAAATAAGTATATAAAGATATAAACCAATCACGGGGTTTCGAAGACCTTTAGCTTGACATTTTGTACGTCCTTTAGATTTTTCTCTTATGGATTTGTAAATTTTATGTATGTCAATGTACCTGTTAATTACTAATTCACTGGAACACCAGGCTTTCGAAAGGTCTCTGGCATACTTGATGTTTCCTATTCATAATATTTGAACATTGTCCCAGTCGAGATGATATCCCTGGTTGTTTGTATGCAGTGAGTGATATGAGCGAGTGAATATCATGTTTTTTGACAGTTAGTTTGTGTTCATGGATACAAAGAAGAAAAGAAGAAGAGGGCGTCCACCTTGGCCAGTGTTGTGTTATCCGCAATCGTTGTAAATTATTTTGTAGATGATGTTGGTTTCAGCTTCTTTCACTGTTATGTGCGACATCAATTTCTAAAGCTTTGAACAGTCTGAGACGACCTTTTATACATATGGTTGTATGATTTTCTTTGTGTTTTCCTTGGGGGCCTCTGCTTCGTCAGATTGGCTTGAGGGTAGATGTCTACAAATGAAGTTTCTTGGATATCTATTCTTTTTTGGAAGACGTTCATGAGATATTTTTGTTGAATTTTCATTAAGTTAGGTATGCTGCAGTGAATCCCAGCTCTATGGAATAGTGTTTGAATGCAACTGTTTTGTGACTTATCGAGTTATTGCTGTTGTGTATTTGATCATTTGACCTGTTTGCGTTGAAATTCTAGTTTGCCTGTGGTTGTTCTCTTAATCAAGGTTGAAAAAGAAATAGAATTTTCTTCGCCGGTTTCCTCCATTTGTGACTAAGTCGTACTTTGCAGGTTTAGCTTAGGGGTATTTTCACTTCAGATTGGAAAATTTTGATATTGTGATAGTTTCCAGTATACTTTCGTCCTTCTTCAAACTGGATTCAGTACACGGTCAACTTAGAGAATTAGGTCTAATAAATCGTTTACCCGGTTCGATCTTTATTCACCCGTTCATATATGACATTAGTTCGTTTATTAGATGTTTCACACAGCGAGTGAAACAGTATTATTTACTGGATGAAAAAGTTTCGAACAAAATTTACTGTGGTTCATAATCTTATCAGTTGTAATCACACGACTTCGAAACTTGAGTTTTATAGTTTACTTTGTCCTCTCCTATTTGTCGTCGTAGGGGTAGTAGATATTTCCAGATATCTCGGAGAAATGTTGAATCATTCCTATTAAACGTATTTGCGGTTGATTCGATAAACAAAGCTTCTGTTATCAATCTCTCCATCCACTTTGCTGTTACATGACATTTTAATACTGTCATCTTATCCCATCCAATTTCATGGTTGTGTGTAATTGCATGTAGTGAGTGCTATGGCTGAACAATTCTTTAGATTTCCTATGTTATTCGGGTCAACTAATCTAGATTTTTATAGGTTTTTATGCTAGGCTAGTCTGAGTGACTGTCTGACTGACTTCGTTCTACTACTTCGCTCTGTGTATTTGACCTGAAAGTCATTGCAGGGTATTATATAAACTAAACTGTTTTGTTTTAGGAGCTTCACAGGATCCTTTAAACGACAAGGCTTGTTTCTAATTGAGTTCGTCAATGGTTTGAATGCCAGCCGCTTTTATTCCTTCCTTGTTAAGAATTCTCCGGTGTAAGGTTTCCGAGGTTCCTTCTCTGTATGGAATTACTACAGATGATTTAGATTCCTTATTGTTGGTGTTGTCATCATCCTGTGCATGACGTCACTGATGTTATTACTATTATTAGTATTATCACTATCCCTACTGTCATTATTTTTTTAATTTTCACATTTCCTACATGCTTTCTGATGAATTACACAGGGTAATTATTAAGTATCAAAGCTTCTCTTATGCGTCCCATAGATTTTTCTTGATAATACTTAGTTTTTGAACTCTGTTATTATTTAAACATTTCACAAATCCTATTTTCACTGACATAGGAAGAAGCATTGTCTCAACTACAGGAGGAGCGGACGAGGATGTCGAATATAGAATCGAGAAGGCGAGAAACACATTCATCAACCTAAAACCAATCTGGAAATCTTCGTCACTCAGCATCAACAACAAAATTCGGATTTTCAATACAAACGTCAAGTCAGTCAGTTCTTCTATACGGATCAGATACTTGGCGGGTCAGAAAAAATATTTCCAACAGGCCACTGCAGACCTTTATCAACAGCTGTCTTCGTTCTGTACTCAAGATCAGATTGCCGGAAAGAATCACCAACAAGAAACTATGGGAACAAACGAAACAAGAACCAATCGCCCAACAAATATGCAGGAGAAAGTGGAGATGGATTGGACACTCGCTGAGGAGGCCGCTGGGTGACATCGCGCATCAGGCCCTCGAGTGGAAGCCGAAAGAGAAGCAGCGAGTGGGACATGGAGGAGGTCGTGTGAAGAGGAGCTGAAACAGTGTGGACTAAGATGGATGCAGGTGAAAAGTACAGCAGAAGAGGGAAGCAAATGGAGATATGCAGTTGAAGCCTTATATTCCACTAGGAACTCAAGGGAACAGTAATTATAATGATAATAATAGGATGGGGTGATCGGAAGTCTGTTTGAATGTGTGGATTTGCTGTAAACACTAGTGTTCAATTTCCCATCTTCCTTCCTTTCTACGCTACAGACTAACATTGGAAGCTCACCTTCCTGACTCGACAATTCATAAGTGAATTGAATTGCCTCCACTTTTGAGTTAATGTGTTCGAAAAATCTTTCCATATATCCTGTGTTCTAAGTACAGTGAATGTGTCATCTATTCATATAAGCTGAAAAATATTTCGAGGTGGAATAAAGTAGCTAAGTGATTTCACTTAGCCCAGTTTCCTGATGTCATACATTAGAAAAATAAAAAGAAAGATACAGGCAAATAAAACTCTATCGTTATAACCGGAACTACGATGTTGTGGAGTACTGGCGAATGACTAACTTAATCTACTGGCTAATCTGTTCTAATCGCCTATCAACAACAACAACAATAACACCACCAGCACGCAAAAACGAAATAAAAGAACTGGACGTCGATAAGAGAGCTTAAACTGTCTCAAACAACAGTCAGAATGCTAAACAGAAGTTCAATATATATACAGTTTGAATGACCTTGGAAATGCAGTAATCTAGTGATGCATTTAAAGTTGTATCAGAGAATATGAATCAAGAAATCCAAACAGGAGGAAAAACAAGGGGCTCATTCCAGTATACGATAGCTGCTTAAAATAGAATTTGCAAGGTTTCACACAAAAAATTCAGCAATTAAACTGGTTGTATATAACATATATCAAAATAGAGAGAAAACATTAATTTAACTTACATAAATGGGAGTAAAAGTTATCCAATGCTTTATTGCTCTGAGTGCCTTTTTGTTTTACTTTCACATCCTCTGTGAAATGTAGCACAATAAAAAAGAGGAGGAGGCAGAAAATAGAAAATTAAACGCTACTGTAAACATTTCTTCATACATTTTCAACACGATACTTTTTCTGATAATTCACAGACGAACGTTCACAGTTGAGTACGCATCAACCACAAACGGAAGATGGTTATTTCTCTTGCAACAAGAATCTATAGACCCTGCAGCCCCAAATAAGAAGGAAAAGAGATCACTCATTTATGGATGACACCACTTGAGATTAGCTATCCCGACCCACAAATCACAGAAAAACACATAAAGCCAAACATCAACAACGAACAGTCAATCTTTATCCCGAAGAATATGCTATACATGAATGTGGCGTTCAAAGGAGACGTTCTGGTCGACATCCTATAGAGAAAACAACGACATTCTCTGATGCTACACTACGATCGGTATTCTCAAGCCGTCCATTGTTCTTCATCAACTCATCAAGTTATTTTCAATACTTATTATTTTCAGCCGGAGGCTTCTTTTCACTTTGTAGATGACTTTGAATTAATTCTCCTTGCATAATGAGTTACCAGTGTTGAATATATGTTCAATTATAGCAGTCTTTGTTGATCCAATGTTACCCATTTGTAGCCATGCAGGATAATGTTCTCTAACACTTTTGGATAAAACACGCATTGAACGACCCATATATCTCGATCGCTCCACATGAGCGAGTAAACTGGTGGATACACACAGAGAAGTGGTCAGATGCGATAATTTGTCTTTGGAGTTGATGAAGAACAATGGACGGCTTGAGAATACCGATCGTAGTGTAGCATCAGAGAATGTCGTTGTTTTCTCTATAGGATGTCGACCAGAACGTCTCCTTTGAACGCCACATTCATGTATAGCATATTCTTCGGGATAGAGATTGACTGTTCGTTGTTGATTTTTGGCTTTTTGTGTTTTTCTGTGAAGTGTGGGTTGAGGGTAGCCAATCTCAGGTGGTGTCTTCCTTAAATGAGTGATCTCTTTTCCTACTGATTTGTGGCTGCAGGGTCTATAGATTCTAGGCTCGATTATCTGAATAACACTGTGTAAAAGAAAAGGTGATCGGTGGAAGGCATACAGGAGAACATGTTCAAAATAGGATTTGGTAAGCAACGCAGGCTTTCAATTTTCTGTTTTAATGTAGAGATTTAATAGTCATATCAAGAATTAAAAGTCAATCTGAATGAAGCATACTCTTTTCAAAAGTTGGTTTGTGAGGATTGGATTTATTTCTTAGGAGTTTAACCATGGTTTTATGTCCGTAAGAGAACTATTGAAAAGCAGGTTCTTACAAATATATTATGACCAGTCACCACCATATTCTCCTTTTTGACAATATTTTGTAATTGATTTCAGCCTAGCACGTCTGTCACACTCAAATACGACTATTTATTTTGACACAACTAATCTGTTGCTCCACGTAAAAAACTTTATCCGCCGCCGCATAACTGGCTATCAATATTGTAACGACAGCGAGAATTATATTTTATAATTTTAAGAACCTGAAGGAAAGGATGTTGTGAAAAGAATATTCTTCTTTCAGACTGACTTCTAATTTAGAGATTTTAATAACCTCAGCCATTCATCATAGAAAGGAGAAATCCGAATGTTGAACACATTCATTCCAACTAGAAAACTGTTATATAGTTCAGAGAAAAGCTTTTCTAGTAAAGCTCAATTAAACATTTCATCCAACAGCTGTACGGCAATGCTGCATGCAAAGTAATCCACAACGAGAACCCAACGGAATTCTTCGAAGTGAGAACAGGAGTAAGACAAACTGGCTGCCTACTATCGCAAATGATTTTCCTGATTGCAGTAGATTGGATAATGCGACAAACAGCGGGCAATGAGGAAACAGGCATAAAATGGACTCACACAAAGAACTTGGAGGATCTGGACTTCGCCGATGATATATGTCTGATTTCTCACAAACTGGAATATATGCAAGCGGAAAGCAACAAGTTGGCAGAAGAAGCATCAAAGATAGGACCTCAGGTGAACATAGAGAAAATAGATGTGATGATCATTGGCCAACAAAAACAGAAGCAACAACAACAGACAACAATCAGCATAAATGGGAGGAACCTGAAAGAAACAACCTCCTTTACCTACCTGGGAAGCATCGTTTCAACTACAGGTGGAAGTGAAGAGGATATCAAAGCAAGAATCGGAAAAGCAAGACAAGCTTTCACTAGTCTCAAGTCTGTGTGGAGGTCAACAACACTCAGCATCAAAAATAAGATCCCGACTTTCAACTCCAATGTGAAGTCAGTGCTACTATACGGATCAGAGACTTGGCGCGTCATAAAGAGCATCTCAAACAAACTACAGACCTTCATTAACAGTTGTCTTCTCTCAATACTCAAGATCAGATGGCCAGTCAGAAAACATCAGCAACAGAGAGGGATCTCTGGCAATGAGCGAACCAACGCAGCAGGAACCAACGGATTGTGAAACAAATAGGCAGGAAGAAATAGAGATGGATTGGCCATACTCTGAGGAAACCATCAAGTGACATCACTAGACAAGCCATTGCTCGAGTGGAACTCGAAAGGGAAGAGGCGAGTTGGTCGTCAGTGCAAGGGTGACTTGAGGGAGGTCATGTGAAGAGGAGATGAAAACGTGTGGGCAGACTTGGAGCCAGGTGAAGACTTTAGTATAGAATCGAACGCAATGGAGACGCACGGCTGAAGCCCTATGTTACTGTAGGAATTAAAGGAAACAATAATAATAATAGAGCTCAACAATCGTGGTGACTGTTGAGACGGACAACAGATAATCGACTGGAGCACAAATGGGCTTCTGAAGTCCTGCATTCTCCTTGGAACGGTTTAATTTGATACCCTAGGCATATTTTTGTTCAGAAATGCCATGACTCGATGCTGCAACGTTTTCATTACTAGTAACGGTATGAAAATGAAAGAAAATGCTGTAGCATTTGAAATATTGATTTAGGCTTTACCTGCAAATGCCTTGCCAACGACTTTACCCTTTGAATTTAGAAGTCTGTTTAATAGTTCTGAAAGTAAAGAAAAAAATAAACAAAGTATCAGGCAGAAAAAGTGATTTCAGTAGTCTTATCAGACCAAAATGATTTTTAGCGAACAATTTTGGTTAAGATAAATTCTTCCTCAGGATCTACACAGTTACAAATTCATGAATCCATTATGATACATATAACCAGTTATTCGAGGCATGTGAAAATAATATCGAAAACTGAATTTTCGGCGTACATGTATAATATGAAGTGATAGTTCGTTATTTAATATTGTCAAATGAACGTATATTATAAAATATATACAGTCATCCAGAACATAAGTTAAAGTGTGAATAGAATTCAGATACAAAGCTATCACAAAGATGTCCACTGGACACAAGGGAAATAATTAGGAGCTTGAAGTTCTGTCTAGAAAGTAACTGTTTTACACTTAAAATGAAATTATACAGACAGACAAATGGTGTTGCTATGGCTTCACCAGTCTCCTCAAACGTCGCTGACCTTTTCATGAATAGATTCGAAGATAACATCTTTTCAAGCATACTCACTCCTAAAATATGGTTAAGATATGTAGATGATACTTTTGTAGTGCTAAAACGAGATCTACACAGTTCATTCTTTGGCAAACTTAACAACCTATCTCCTAGAATCCAGTTTACTTCGGAAGCAGAGTCAGACGTCAGTGAACTACCACTTCTTGACTGCTTGCCTAGTTGAGAGGAGGGAAGACGGATATTTTAATATACCTATATTCAGGAAGAAAACCCACTCCAATAAATATTTAGACATCGGATTATCAAACCCCACCATCGGAAAGGTATCAGTTGTTTCAAGTCTTCTAAGACGAGCGCACTTTCTGATAACGGATGAGAAGGGAAAGGAAGAAGAAATATTACACATTACTGAGACTCTCAAACAAAACAACTACCCAGAGAACTACATCAACAAAATCAACACTGATATAAAGTATGATCAAAAACGTATTCCGGAAACATGGACCTCAACAGATGTCGCTCTCTATAGAGTGGAGACGTCAGATGATATTAGAAGAGTGCTCAATAAAGCACAACATCAACGATTACTTCAAAACATCAGACACACTGTGAAGCAACTTGGTCCATATAAAAGACCAAATCTTGAAAGATTCTCTATCGAATTTTGTCTATGAAATAAGATGCTTGCGTTTAATGCGATGCGATATACATCGAACAAACATTGTCAGAGAGAAATCAAAATGAGAAGATATGAACACTGTATGGCCGACTATATTCAACTTCCGAGAATTTCAGTTTAACTAGAAAGTTTGAAAAATCCTTATCCATAGATCTACACACTATAGAATCAGGTTGCAAACCTACGGTTTGTCACCTCTGAACTGTGCTCTTAAATAAAGCGTTTTCTTATTCACCGTGTCACGTTGAGTTTTATCGGTTCTCTTGGAAATATACTTGTTTACAAAATTGGTAGGAAAGCCATTTTCAGCAGGGTATTTTTAAGGTTTTCGATTTCATCTTCAACACAATCTTCAGTATGTAAGTGCCTAATTCAATTACCAAGACAAGGAATCAAGTTTCGTTTATACTGTAATGGTAGGAAACTGCGGAAATGGATATACTCTCTATTGCATTTCGCTTTTCTGTAGATGTTTTGCTTCAATCTGCTGTCTAGCCTTTGAGTAAGAAAAACATCCAGAAGAAAAGTTCTTCCATGATATTCTTCTTCGTAAGAGAATTTAACTGCCGGGTTCACATTTTTAATGATCTGCATCAGATGTCACAAACGACGACGACTGTATCGTCTACATGACGGTAATAATGTTCAAGTTTGTTTAACACCTCTCCGAGGACCATTTTATAATTTAGCTAGGAAAATTTCAACCAACAAAAGATCTATATGGGAACCACATCGATTTGAAGTTAGGATTCTGTGTTATTTAACAAGGAGTAAGGAATGAACGTGTCGGTGGCACAGCTGTAGAATGCTCACCGACTGGAGTTCGACATCCGGCTACTGACGCACTCCTTTACCTCGATAAGTCAGCAGTAAGACTGGCAAAGAAGGAAGGTTGAGCATGAGGCTAGCAAACCCATCCTGTAAACATAATCACCATTGCTACATTCAACGATAACATGCTATTGTCCACTATGATCATATCTTTCATGTTGTCAACAGAAGCATACACATCTTTTGCATTTTATTTCACCAACTCCCTACGTAGTGGCTAAAGCAGACTTACTGGCTATTTAGCTGTTAAATGAAATGGTGAATTTGACATATCACAGGAAGAGGGCGTGATTTTACTGAAATAACTTACAACTAACTTTTGAAAATTAATCTGATTCTCGATAATGACTGGCTGAAGAACGAAATTGCCTGTAGTTCTAGTGAGAAGTTGTGGCCTATGGAGTTCACCCAGTCAGTAGTGAGAGATGACCACCAAGTCAAGGAGGAGTGCCCAAATGTCCCGCTTTCGAAACCTGGCGACAGTGAGTGAGTATTGTCGATGAGTCTGAAACCAAGGTGATGAAACAGCTGCCTCCACAGTACTGCCTTGTGGTTTTCAATGTTCGGTCTCAGATCACATTTAATATGTTCGCAAACTTTGCCTTTTTCCATGACCTTATATACTACTGAATGATTAAATTGAGTAGAGGTATACTACCCATGCATCAATCATTAGTTTCTGCTAGCCAGGTAGAAGTTATCTGAACTCCTTGTTCGTTTCAGGGTGGGGGACAGGGCGAAAGGCGATATCATCTGTGGTGTTCTTAGTTTTAGTTGCTAATTAATTTCAGAATATATTTCTTCTAAACTAAAATTCTGAGCATTATTTATGGATTAAAGAGTATCGTCTAATGTTCCATTCTTGCTTAATCCCTTCTGAATCGATCATTCCTTGACTCTATGGCATGCCGAAATAAATCCATAAATCTGGACTACCACTTTGTTCCACTTTAGACTTAGCATATTCACATTATCACTGTATCACAAAGTTGATAGCAGAACTCCTAGAACCATAAAGAAGTCAAGTACCTATACTGTATATGATACTTTTGAATTTATGAATGGCGTTAATGATAATCAACGTTACTGGGAAAATTATGCAATCACTTGATATATACTCCGTGTTTATTAAGATGTCCATTGAATGAAACATGACATTATTTCAATTCATTTCTCGTGATTTCATTGGTAGTAGTATACCATATAAGCGAGGGGACATTCTAGACCCTACGTACGAATTGGAGTGGCATTTAAACCTACAAACTCACTCAAGAAGGAGAAGATCTGTAGGTTTAAGGACCCAGTTGACTCAATTGGACAAAATAATATAATAATAACGGAATATCCTGTAAGGGCTGTGAATGTGGTCAACTACATAGGTCGAACTAGTAGCTAGGGGTAGTCAGATTGTCAGAACATAAGAATTTAGCTAAGGTAAGAATGGTTGACCCAGAGAAGATAAGTAATTTAGAAAGAAGCTCAGCAATCACACTGCATGCATTAACACACAACCAAACATTAGGGTTGGAGAAGATTAAATTTCTAAAATGTAATATAGGCAGGTGGAGGGACGGAGAGGTTGATTACTGAATCTGTGTTCATAGAATCTACACCCAACATGTGCATTAGGATGCAATGACTCGTCGCTCAGACCGGAAATATGGAAAATACTACTACCATTCAAGTCAATCGATGAAAAATAATGGGATTACATAAACGAAGTTAAAAAGTTTTGTGAGCACTTTGATATGATTGTGAGGAGTGTATAAATTGTGCTCGAAACATGGTCATCAGTAAATATTACTGTGTAACAGTGTGAGACTTTATCAAAATAAATTTTAACCTTAGTGGAATTATGCTGTACCACAGTACTCAAGTTTTATTTTGGTATCAGAGAGATGGGTTATTTATGAGTTCGCCACTTGGTACGTTGCTAGCAGACTTCTTTTTGGCTGTTATGGAGAGCAGTACTCTTGTACTTGCTATTAAGGGGGTTGGTTTTGACAAAAGAATATGTGGATGATACATCCATTTTATGCTATGAGAACTGTGATTTTGATGACATCTAGAAAGTATTCCGTGATAGTCATCTTGTTATCGAATTCACTTCAGAAATAGAAACTGATACAAAAATATCTTTGCTTGATATGATGCTCACAAGGTGAGCTGGTTGTTCTGTGAAACGCTTCATTTACAGAAAATCGACATGGATGGAACAATTGACCAATCTTTAAAGTTTTGTCCCCATAGACAGAAAACAGAATCTAATCCATTCTCTCTCAACATGGATCCGAAGAATTTGTAATGAGGACAGTGTTTATGATGGACTTATACAGCGGGAAGAAACCTTCAGAGAGAAAGGGTATCCACCACACTTCATAGAAGCCAATAGAAAATCACCCGGGTAGCTAAAACACCATTGCACCTAAATTCACAATTTAGGGGTGACACTGAGTGAGAGTGACAAGATCTGACAAGATCATTCAGAAAAACCTTCTCTGCTGCCTGTATGGTCATCTGCTCCTGATAAGCTAGGCACATAGGACTTTCATCGAGAAACATATCCCGTCGCCACGTTCGAGAGCACCTCACAGTTTGACTGAGTAAAGGTGAGTGTAGAGGTACTAATATGTCGATATTGTAACATTTTGTAGATACTGACCACGCAACATCTGAAACATAGTTCAGTATAGTCTACAAATTTCAACAAAGTGTGCCGCAAGGGAAATGAGTGCATTCGATTGTATAGAAGAGGTTTTGGCAATACATAACATAAAGCCAGAACATTTTGTAGAAAAACAATTCGTACAATCTCTTCTATTGCCATAGTCTTGATTTCACCATGTAATCTACATAACAACTGTGTTATCGTTCTTTATTCCGAGTTCCAAATTTTTTTGGTTTGGTTTCATTTCACTTTATGTTATCATATTCTAACATTTTACCTAGTTTACCACTTTGATACATTTCATCATATTATGTTCACATATGCATTTTTCCGAATGTACTCTACCTTCTGACCATCTATTTCGCACATGCCCTCCACTGGACTTTAGGTTGACCTCTATTAATTCAGTTAGTTATTCATCCATCCGTCTAATCAGTTGTGACTGATAATCACGTACACGGAGAATATCGCACATGAGGGATTCCACTCATTGTCGAACGTCAACAGACACACTGAAGATATTCCTCTTTATTATTATTCGCGAATTTCTACTTGTATGGCTTAGGGGTTAAACTTGGAGGAATTTTACAAAGAATTTATGTTCGTATGACTAGATAAAAAAAATACACTCAAAAATATCATTTTGACATGACGTGGAGCAAGAGGAGAACACCGCAGTTAACAGCTTATTAAATTGAGGATAAAATACCACCGGTTTCATTATTCATATAACTCCGTTAGGTTCCAAGCGGAACATACGAATCCAAAAGAATATCTCCACTTTTTTACCATTCAATCAACTATTCCTGACGTGGCCACATCATTGCCTACAGTCACTGCACGCCTCTTTTTACACGATCTCCTCAATGTCACTCACAGACACAAGTTAAACTCATCGATTCCGCTTACAGCTGCGATTCCACCCATGGCCTCATATATGCCATGTCATATCATGGTCTCCTCAGTAGACTATAGCCAATACGTCTCCATTCTCTTCACCATATTTGTTGAGCAATGGGGTCCCGGCTGGTGTGTGTGTACCGAATAATACCTAATTGTTGATTCCACCTGGCAAGCCGACCCACAAATCTTCAGTATGCAGCGCAGGTAGCACCGGCTGAATGAAGTCTGACGTAGACTATTTCCAAGTGCTTCTTATCATGCACATGCATTGCATGACTCAAAATGATAGAGCTGTGACTTGCCTTCACGATTCCGCTCACCTTTGATATCTCCATTCGTTCCAGTTGCTCTTCAAACAAAACCTCCTAAATAAGTGGAGGGAGTGCTCTCTTGCAAATTTCTCTCGGTGATAGTGATTGGTACTAGTTGTTGCTGCTGTTCGTCGGTTACCTTCATCACCCCTGTCTACTCTGTGTTCACCTGGAGTCTTATCTTCTGTGGCTACTTACTTCACCAGCTTGTTGGTTTTCGCATGTAGATCTTCATGTGTGTGTGTGTGTGTGGCAATATACACAAATCATCCACACATGAACTCCAAATGTTTCAGAGAATTCTTATCACCCCCGACATTCTGTGCAAATCCATCGTTAGTAATAGGCACGTGGAGTTATCTTACTCCTGCGATCACTTCAAACGCCCCGCTGTATTTTCCACTGTGGATTACTTGAAATTTAGCACTTTAAAATATGTTTTGAATGAGGTTGTAGCACTGAAGTAGTTTCCAAATTACTTTGCTGTCAACACCGTTGAAGGCCTTTTCAAAGGCGGGGAAACTGAGGCAGAGTTCAGGATTATTATTATTATAATCATTACAGTGAAACATACATTATTCTGCCATTACCTTTGAATTTTTGAAGTTTTGCTATTCTTGCTAATTTCGTTATTTTGTATATTTGTATAAATACAGGTAATTTACGATTTATTCATGCGACAACTTGGTGATAGTTATGACCAAATTTATTAGCTGATCTTCACAGGTCATCGGTGAAGTTCAAGAATAGCGTCCCAGGAGTGGGAAAGTTCAAATGACCTTTTACGCATACTAATGGTTAGCTGAAGAAACCTACGAATAATCTAGCGTAAAAATGAATGCTGTTCATTAGCTCAAGTGTAAATTTCACCCAGATTAAGTATTTTAATGCTGTCTGGATAATAGATTGATAGGACGTACTCGGATATGTAGTTACGGTGCTTCAATGAGCCTGCAACCATATTCACAGGTAATTGATGGATATATATTTAGATGAATGGAGTGTAGGAAACAAACGAGTGTTCGTACTGGTAGGTGACACTCTCAGTTAATCGTCTCCCAGGAACGTTCTTTGCAAAATTGAAATTTTCTCTGACGAATATACTGTTTCTTTGCCATTACTGGATTTTGAAGTCTGGAGTGAGGTCAACTACCACTCGGACAGAAAATACGTTGACGTCTACTGTGCAGTGGTTTCAGTTTTGTCAAGATTGAGCATCATGCAAAATGAACAACATTACACAAGTGCTGGGAGGAGTCGGTGTTATCGTTCACATCGACAAAACAGTGCTTCTAAAGAAGAAATACAATTGCCAACGTGCTAGAGCTAACAACGTTCGGATGTTAGGAATTTATGACACCCAAATTCAGAAAGGATTCCTTGAATTTATTCCAGACGTTAGTGTTGATACTCTTCTGCCTATTATTGAAAGACTTGTTTTGCCTAGCAGTACTATACACACGGATGAATAGGCAGGATAAAACCGACACTCCCTATTATAATTGGGACACATTTTTATCTGATATCAGGGAAAAATGCCGTGTTTAACGTTTTTTCATGCTTTGTTATGTAAATATGTGTAACATTTTGTGCAGAAATTCCTCAAATTTTCTCATTGGTCGGTTCTAGGTCACTCGTGCGTTTGCATCCCTTGGGACACTATTGTACAACTTTGCCAGGTCATGTAGTGGACCATCGCGATTCAAATTATCATCCTATTATTCAATCATCACTCAGTCTTTCACCTTCTGAATGGGATGAAAGGCATCAAGCTAGCGCTCTGTAGTTTCACTAGTAGGTTAGGTGTTTTTGTTTTAACAAGATGAGGTTGCTGACCCCACGTACACACACACACACACACGCACACGTAATTTCAATTTTTACGTATTTACTAAGACCGGTTAGTCCATGACGTTTAGGTGTGCGTCAGTAGTCGGTCGGCAACTGAATCCCCAGAGAAAACACTTAGTAAGATATCAAAAAATAAGGCAAATTGAGGTAAAAATCAAATCAAGAGAATAATAAGAAATTTACCAACCTTCATTTTCTTTTAATTGCCGTTTGGTATCTTCTTTCTCTTGTAGCAACGTCTGCCTAGCTCTTCCATCTGGTAAATAGCAGATAATGAATGTGTAAGTATTTGTTATATACACCTAGTAGTTTAATTACCTAATTTTATTTTAAATCATAAAATATCTATTTTAAGCAGTTATCGTGTACTCGCATGAGCGTTTTGTTTTTCCCTCTGTTCGGACTGCTGTATTCTTATTGGCTGCATTTTCAAGGTCATTTTATTGTATTATGTATATACAAAGTAAATTCACTTTTGACAATTTGAAAAAATGTGGGCATTGGGTGGTATATGATATTCATTATTATTAAAGGTTTTTGTATTTCTTAATGAATGAATGAAAAACAAAACGATATTTCTATTTTTTCGGACATTTCGCTATTTAATATTGTTAACAGCTTTAGCAAGGTATTATCAAACCAGAATTTAAAAAATCTCCTCAACTTAGATATTACAACTTCATCATCGTTCCTGAGCATGAGGTTATTTGTACGTTGTCAAAGTGATCAACTGGTAAAGATAACAAAATCAGGCGTTGGAACCTTAATGGATTTGATAAGTGTGTAAAATTGTAAAAGTAGCGTGTGTTTACACAATGAAACTGCTTATCACATTCGTGTTGATTTTTTCATTTCATGGGGCCGTAGGCAGTGTTGCACCCAGGTCAAATTCTGTTTCAGTCCATCATTCCAATTCAGACAATTCGATTCCACTTGATATGAATTGCTTCTGATAGTATTAGACGTTCTTTTGGGAATTCTGAAATGTTTCTCCTGGATCATTTCAATATTGTCAAAATCAATTCTGTGAGTCTACTATAGTGTGTAGACAGATTTATGGTTGATGATTATTCTAGCTTTTCTAATTCAACTGGATTTCTCGGTGGTTGAACATAGTCGGCTATACAGTGTTCATGTCTTCTCATTTTGATTTCTCTCTGGCGATGTTTGTCCCATATATATCGCATCACATTCTAAGCAAGCATTTTATTTTATAGACACAATTAAATAGAGAATCTTTAGGGATTTGGTCTTTTATAAGGAGAAGTTTGCTTCGGTGTGTGTCTGATGTTTTGAAAAAAACGCTGATATTGTGCTTATTGAGTACTCTACTGAAATAATCCAAAAAAATTTCAGAAATCACAAAGAACGTCTAATATCATTAGAAGCACTTCGTATCAAATGGAATCCGATTTGTTTGAATAGGAATGATGGTCTAAAAAAGAATTTGACCTCGTTACAACACCCACACCACCTGTCATGAAATGACAAAATCAACACAAATGTGATAAGCAATTTCATTATGTAAACAAACGCTACTTTTACAATTTTATACACTTATCAAATCCAACAATCTACACCTGGTTTTGTTATCCTTACGCAAGTAGCCAGTTCGACAATGCAAAAATGACCAAATACTGATGAACGACACATAATTTTGTTATAAATAAGCTGAGATTTTGTAAATTTTGATTTAATATTTCTACTCTGATAAAGCTATCAGTAGCAGCATTAAGTAGCGAAACATCAGTAAAAGCAGCAATATCATTTTGTTTTTGATTCATTTGCTGGGAAATACAGAAAACCTTTATTATAATAAACATTCTAATTGTATGTATATGCAGAGCTTCTGTCTAGCGTTTTGAGTGTTTTTGCGACAATTAGAGCTCGCCTAACGATGTCCAGTCTTTTATTTCGTCTGTTCATCCCGGTGGTGTTGTTTTTATTGTTGTTTTTATTGGCGGGCGATTAGGACGAATTACCCAGCGGATTAAGTTAGTGTTCGCTCATAATACTATTTATTTTGTCAGAAAAAGACTATGTTTAACACATTCATTCAAGAAGAGAATAGTTTTTCAAACCTTACCTCTTTCTGTTCTGATTTTGTTTTCGATTTCTACCAAATCCCCTGTAATGTTAAGTGTGTATAAGTAAATGTGTAAAACTTGGGCACTGTGGTAGTAATTAATTCCATATTAGTTTCTTTATTAGATGTTTCACACAGCGAGTGAAACAGTATTATTTACTGGATGAAAAAGTTTCGAACAAAATTTACTGTGGTTCATAATCTTATCAGTTGTAATCACACGACTTCGAAACTTGAGTTTTATAGTTTTCTCTGTTCTCTCCTATTTCTCGTTGTAGGGGTAGTAGAATTTTCCAGATATCTCGGAGAGGTGTTGAATCATTCTTATTACACGTATTTGCAGTTGATTCGATAAACAAAGCTTGTGTTATCAATCTCTCCATCCACTTTGCTGTTACATGACACTTTAATGCTGTCATCTTATCCCATCCTATTTCATGGTTGTGTGTAATTGCATGTAGTGAGTGCTATGGCTGAACAATTCTTTAGATTTCCTATGTTATTCGGGTCAACTAATCTAGATTTTTACAGGTTTTATGCTAGGCTAGTCTGAGTGACTGTCTGACTGACTTCGTTCTACTACTTCGCTCTGTGTATTTGACCTGACAGACATTCCGGCGGGGTATTAGATAAACCAAATTGTATTGTTTAAAAGGCTCCACACGAACAATCCTTTATCCGAGAAAACGTATTTCCAAATCAGTTTGTGGTTTTGAATGCCAGTATCTCTAATTCCTTCCTTGTTAAGAATTCTCCGGTGCAAGGTCTCCGAGGTTCCTTCCTTGTATGGAATCACTTCAGATGATTTAGATTCCTTATTGTTGGTGTTGTCTTGTGCACATTTGACTTTCATGTCGTCATTAATATTATTATTATCATCACTATCATTACCATCATTATTTATTTTTTTTACATTTCCCTACATACTTTGTGACTAATTCATCAGGGTAATCAATACGTTTCAAGGCTTCTCTTATATGTATCACTTCCTGTCTTAGATTTTCCTTGTTACTACTTAGTTTTTGTGCTCTGTCACTTAAACATTTCACCGATCCTATTTTTACTGACATGGGATGGGATGATCGGAAGTTCAAATATCTGTATGAATGTATGGGCTTCCTGTAAACACTAGTGTTTGACTTCCCATCTTCGTTTCTTTTTATACTGCAATCTAACATTGGCAGTTCCCCCTCCTGACTTTGCAATTCATAAGTGAATTGAATTGCCTCAACCTTTGAGTTAGTGTGTTCAAAACATCTTTCTGTATATCGTGTGTTTCAAGTACTGTGAATGTGTCATCTAAATACCTCCACCATACTTTTGGGGTGGGGGTGAACGTTTCAATTGCTATACTAAGTGTATAAGTGAATAGATATTACATATTATAAACTAAGCGTTGCGTTTGACTGCTATTCTGTTAGGTTGTATTCAAATACGCAAGATTATGAGTAAACTGTTTCAATGCAATATCTTGATTTCTGTAAATTTTCTCAAATTACATTTAGATGTCTTGACTACTTCCCATAGGCTTTTATTTTCCTGTTATATGATTTTTTTCCCATACCATTTTAAGACGTTATTCAAGTTCTAGTAGAGGACCTGGAGGGTAAAATCACTTCAAAGTCTCCTCAGTGTCATCGATTCTGTTCACGTTCAGAAGGGAAAAAGGTTGTATTTGAATTTATGTGCTATAAAGCTTTTGCGAACATGGGATGTTTCTGTTTACAGAGTGATGTCACTATTCTTATATTCAATCTTCTCTCTCTTTCTAAGGGTAGAAGCCAACTGGTTCACAGACAGCAATGTTTACGAGTTTGTTTTGATATTAAAAGTGAGTCATCCGCGATAAGAAGACTCCAGAAGATGATGATTTAATTATACTGTCACACAAACTCGAAGATCAACAAGCGAAAAGCAAAAAGTTGGCGGAGTGAGCAGGTTAATACAAAGAAGACCCTTGGGCGGTGAAGATTACCAGCCACCACCGAAAACAACAATGCCAATCACTGGCAACAATCGCTTTAAACGAGAGAAATTCAAAAGAGGTCACTTCCTGAACCAATTGAGGAACTGTTGTTTAAAGTTCAGAATCGGAAAGCCGAGACACACAGCTTCATCATTCTAAGATCAGTTTGGAAATTTTCCCCACTCCACATCACGAGGAGGTCAGTCAGTGATGTCAGTGTTCTATTTAGTTGAGAGACTTGCACTGTGTGTGTGCGTCACGAAGAGCATTTGCAATAATCTATTATAAAGATTGATTTGCTGGTTGGCCAGATGGAATCAGTAATGAGGAATATATTAGTACAAACCGACCAATCGTGGACCTATTGCTCGACAAATATGGAGAGAGGAGAATGGGTTTATATTTAGGGCACAGGTTATTGAGGAGACCATGGAATTACAACATTACGCATCAGGCGATTGGCAGATTGGCACCGACTGTGGAACAAGGAGTGAGTCGTCCACGAGTGACAAGGCGAAATTCAATGACTAGTGGCAAATTTGTGGCTAGGTGAGGAGTAGTTGGTAAAATGGAAATATAACCAGTACGTTTAAGGCATTTATTTTTTTTTATCAAAAAACATCCCAGTAAATTATTCATTCATGCAACGTCTTACATTGATAATCTTCAATAATTTCAACATAATCAAGGATTTCATCTTCAGAGGATATAACTGTAAGAAATTTAAAAAAAACCGTCATGAAATCACATTTTTAGACCTGTCGACTCTTTAGGCTTGTCTTGTTGTCACATCCTGTCATTAAGTGAGAGCATATGGAAATTATTATTATTATAGTTTACTGTGTCCTCTTCTTTTTGTCTCTGGGGTAGTAGAATTTTCCAGTGTCTGGAAGGACAGGTGTTGACTCATTCCTAATACATGTATTTACAGTTGATTCGATAAACAAAGCTTCTGTTGTCAATCTCTCCCTCCACCCTGCTGGTACATTATATTTTATAACTTTCATCCTATCCCATCCTATTGTATGGTTGTGTGAAACTGTGTGTAGTGCTATAGCTGAACTATTCTCTAGATGCACTCTTAGACTTCGATAAGCCGGTATTAAGAGTGGCAAATAGGGAGGTTAGCAATCTAACCCAGGAAAAATAGAAAAATGTCTAGAAAACCCTAATGCTACTGGAAGGATTGAAGCCGTATCTTCCGTTCGGAACGTAAACCACATAATAACCGTAATAGTATTTATAATTATAGGTAACATCGGAATAATATATTTGACACACACATTTATTATGATCATACCTGCTGTTGTAGGTTTTACTTTATTCCAGGCCTCATCTGTGAGTAGAATTCAAAATGAATGTTATTTTTTTAAAAACATTAAGTGAATATAGTAACTCTTCTTTGTACAAAATGCTACATGCCTCAAATCAATTGATGTGAGATTCGGTTAATTGTGCTTCAGTAGTCGAATGGTACAATCTCTACTAACATACCCGTGCAACGGATTTGTTACCTATCTAACACACTTGAAAACTCCTCACTTAGTCGGTGATAGGTCAAGTAAATAAGATAAGTTAGGAGTGTAGTTGACAACCTCACCAAATAGAAACCAGCGGCACCACGACTACTGAAACATTTCTGTGTTTCACTTGGAAAGCAGTAGTATCTCGTATGCATATTCCCTCCAGTTTTGAAGCTCATTAGCTGAATTTACCTGTATGTCGAGTGATGGTGCTCTCCCTGGGACTCGACTTTTGAAAACGCCGAAAGCACTAACTCCATACTAAACCACTTGGCCAATAGAGTCACATCAGACCAATAGGCATCAGATTTTCCTTGTACTTCCAAATGACTACTTATATATATTGACCCACATACTCCACCGTCTTTATTGCCATATCCGCTCCTAGTAAAGATGACTGGAATTTACCGGTTAATCAACTGGAAGTACAGAATAACTTCACCAGATAACTGGTATTCAATCGAAAAAAGGTAATGCTTCGGTGGTTCAGCAGTACAACTCTCTTCGACCCAGCCTCACTTAGTCTGAGTATCGATTCTCAGTCAATGTACTCCAAAAACTTGCCAAGCCGGTAGTAAGGATGGTAAAAGAGAATTTTGAAAATATAAACCACTGCTACCGGAACTTCAAAGCTCTCACTTGAAGCCCTATGTTCCACAGAGAACGTAAAGGAGTAAAATAAATGAAAGAAAGTAAATAATAACCCTTTTCTGGGAATTATCGGCAGTAAACACATCCAACCCCAGGGTTCGAACCCAGGACCTTCCATTTACAAGGCAAGCTGGTAGACTATTCAGCCACCGGGACCCGACTCCTCAATTCTAACTTCCACCAATTCGTGATTTAGCGCGACCCCAACCAATGTCGTCGGTGAGACATCCATCCTCACACTTGACTGGTTAGACCTCACTGGTTAGGACTTCACACTAGAACTCAAAGAAACTCTGCTCTGTGGCAAGTCACTAGAGAAACTCACATACGTTAAAGTAAACGTAGTCGAGGATTAAAACAAACGATTGTTTAATCAAATATTTGGAAGGGATTACAAGCTGAGTTACTAGGATAAGGAAAGAGTGATCAGTGAACACATAATATCAGGTTTAATATTTGATAGCGATCATCGCTTCAGTAAATTTGAAGAGACTTAAGTTTAACTGTCCATTAATAATGTTAAAGCATTTGATAGTGTCTACCTCATGATATATGCTAACAAAGCACTTGTTCCCTTGAGACGTAAATTGTTTGGTACATGTTCAGAGAATCTGAGATATACCCTTTTTTTCTGTTCTCCCTCCCTATTAATATATGTAAAAAATATATATATATATAAAATATTTTATTAGAAAAAAACATTTACTGTTGGCATTCCCCGAGTTTAGACTTTCGTGAACTGCTAACTCTAGTAGGTTGTTTGTTTCAGCTTGACAAAAGAATATAGAAATAAAAATCAAAATATTTATTGAAATTGAATACAATTCAAGTGCCAACACTGGCATAAGAATGGAAGTTGGACACTATGTTGATAGAGTATCATTCTGTTAGGAAGAAAATTTATTTCGATAAAGTCTGACCGTTTTATATGTGTCGGAATATTTACAATTTATCACTGCTCATCTTCAAATCAGGTTAGTGAAAGTAATGAGAAAGAATATAAGGCATCTATACTAGTAGTTTTTTTACCATATAAGACAGGGACATCTGAGACCCCACGTAGTAGGATTCTTAACAAAGCAGGAGTTACAGTGGCATTTAAACCTACAAATCCACTGAGGTCGGACAAGCTTTGCAGGCTAAATGACACCCCCGACTCAATTAGACAAAGTAATTTAAATTTACAAAACACCTTGCAATGACTATAGCTTAAGTCAACAACTACATAGGTGAGTCAGAATAGCAGATTGGGGGTAGTCAGACTGTCAGAACATAAGAATTCAGCTAAGGTTAGACTGATTAACTTCGAGAAGATAAGTAATCTAGAAATATACTCAGCAATTTCATACTTTTCAGAGGTACTAGTTTCATTAACTAATAGCGTGTCATATACTTTCATAATATATACACTGAATATATAAGGCTTACCTTTCTGTTGGTGATATTCCTGTTCTAGTTTTCTGAATTCTGATCGTATATCATTCACATTTTCTACATGAACGAATAAAAGTGAAAGTGGTTTCAATATTATTTTGAAAAAAACAAGCTGAAAAGAATTGCTTCATAAACGAATCTATCTATCTTTGCATGAATTGATTTTACAAGTTTGACCACGAATTGATATCAGTAAGAGAACCATTGAAACCAGCACTGGAGCACTGAACAGCCAGCTGTTTCATCCTGGTTTGGGAATCATCAGCAGTACGCACGCATTGTCAGGGTTTGAACCCAGGATATCAATCCTTGGTCAAACTTGTCAAAACAAATCTAATCCTTACAGATCAAACTCTTGAAATTTAGTCTGATACTCGCTAGTGACTGGTTAAAAGACGTAGTTTCCTGGACTTCTAGTGTGAAGTCGTGACCAATGACGTCCATCCAGTCAAGTGTGAGGATGGATGTTCCACGGATGGCATAGGTTGGTGGTCACGCTTAATGCGCCATGAATTGGTAGAAGTTAGAATTCATGGTATGGCCATTGAGGAGTCGAGTCCCAGTGGGTTTGACTTGTCACTGGAAGGTCCTGTGTTCAAAACCCAGTAGATGCGTATTTCTGATGATTCCCAAACTAGGATGAAACAGCTGGCCAGTACTCCCTCGTGGTTTTCATTGGTTCTGTAATCAAGATCAATCCTTGGTCAGACTCTTAAGAAGAAGAAATCTAATCCTTACAAACCAAACTGTTGAAAATTCACATGAATTATCAATCATAGTAACAAAAATGACAAAATGAGTACATAATCGAAGTTTGAGCACGGAGAGATATAAGTTAGACAACCACTGGAATTCAGAGAGTATTGGGCTGCTGATTCATTCCACTAGTTAAGAACTCATTGCCAGTATGCATTCCCTGGGGATTGAACCAAGGACTTTCCAACTTAAAGGTCAACCCATCTCCATTTCCTTCTACATATCTATCACGTTATAGTTTCTAGGGTGTTTCGTTTCTAGACCTACTTGTTTTCTTTCGTTCTTGCTCGCTGTCTCCTCTTTATTATGGAGCTGACGAAGGCAGATGTTGATTGAAGTCTGATAGCCGCCTGAAATGCTTTTCGTGGCGGACGCCAAATCTCTGAATCACCTAAAAGCATCGACTGACTTGACACTGGTGTTTAAAATCTCAATCAGATTCTTTTTGCCGATTGCGGTAGAATTCCTCACTGATTTTGGAGTATTGATTGTTTGGTTTGCCTCTTCTATGCCGTCTGCAATTGAAACAATTCTACCCAGATAAATGGACGAATCGATTTCTTCCGAATTTTTCCCATCGACAGTGATTGGTGCTTTTTGTTTTTGCTTAGTTAGTTAGCTATATTCATCACCTCTGTCTTCTCTATGTTCAACAGTACCATCCATCGAATCCAGAAGGATATTCAGGGTACCCAAGAGTGAACTAAATGACTATTTAGCCACTGGTGAATTATCCAATGTCTTATGAATGCTGATGAGGAGTCCTTAACTGAGACAGAATGGCTGCATTGTGTTTATTGATTCTAAAATTAACATTTCTTCGTATTGCAACCTAGAAATAATGAAATGTCTGTAAACCGACACTTAAAACTTAATTTTCCATAAATTTAAAACATAATCTACTAATTTACGAAAAGTGTATTTGCCTTACTTTGATTTCCATTGGACACTAACTAGTGTTAAATGCTAGTAGTGAGTATCCAGTCCAAAGTATTTAACACAATCCTTTCAGGAGGTCAATCACAAACCTTGAATAGCTTACTGGTGACATCTCTAACTGAAGAATTCACTGAGTGACATTGGGCTCGAATCACAGACGAGGGAAATGAATTCCACCTTGCAGACTGATGAGTGTTAATAGGTGCGAAACCTGAATCTAGCAAGGCTTCCTTTGGCCATTGACCGCGAAGTAATTTGGAAACAACTCGAGTACTACGGCGTACCCCAAATATTCATCAACCTTATACAACAGCTGTACGACAACGGCACATGTCAAGTGATCCACAACGGATAACTCAGCGAGGCGTTTGGAGTAAACACAGGAGTCAGACAAGGGTGCTTAATATCACCAATGATATTCCTAATTGTGGAGGACTAGATTATGCGTCAGACAGTAGGAAATTAGAAGACAGGGATATCCTGGACCGACGTGAACAACCTAGAAGACCTGGATTTCGCGGGTGATTTATGTTTGATGTCACACAAAATCGAAGACTTACAAGCGAAAACCGACAAAGTGGTCGAAGAAGCAGCAAAGACAGGACTCCAGGTGAACATAGACAAGACGGAGGTTATGAAAATAACCAACCAACAACAACAACAGCAGCAGGAACATCCAGTGCCAATCACCATCAACGGGAGGGATTTGAAAGAGGTTACTTCTTTCACTTATCTAGGGAGCATTGTCTCAAATACAGGAGAAACGGACGAGGATGTCAAACCGAAGATAACAATAATAATAATATATATTTTGTAAAACACTTATAAGAGTTAGTGAATATATAAAGCGTTTTATCAAATAATAGTACTCACAATTCTATAAAGACAATTTGAGAAGTAAGATGACGATACACAGACAAATCGGTGTTCTGTTCGCCATCACGATAAATATGCATGTTACTTCATTCACTTATCTAGGGAGCATTGTCTCAACTACGGGAGGAACGGACGAGCATGTCAAATCGAGAATCGAGAAGGTGAGAAACACATTCATCCACCTTAAATCATTCTGGAAATCTTCATCACTCAGCATCAACAATAAAATTCGAATTTTCAATACAAACGTCAAGTCAGTCAGTTCTTCTATATGGATCAGAAACTTGGCGGGTCACAAAGAATATTTCTAACAGCCTGTTGCAGACCTTTATCAACAACTGTCTTTGCTCTATACTCAAGATCAGATGGCCGGAAAGAATCACCAACACGAAACTATGGGAACAAACGAAACAAGAACCAATTGCCCAACAAATATGCAGGAGAAAGTGGAGATGGATTGGACACTCGCTGAGGAGGCCGCTGGGTGACATCGCGCGTCATGCCAACGCTCGAGTGGAACCAGAAAGGGAAGCGGCGAGTGGGACGTCAGTGCAAGGGTGACATGGAGAAGATCATGTGAAGAGGAGTTGAAACAGTATGGACTAACATGGATGCGAGTGAAAAGTACGGCAGAAGACAGAAGCAAATGGAGATGTGTGGTTGAAGCCCTGTGTTCCACTAGGAACCCAAGGGAACAATAATAATAATAATTACATGAATACTCACCTGGTTGACTGTTTGTCTGACGGTTTGTCGTTAAATGTTTGTCTGAGGATGAAAAAATTAATAACAATAATAGTAAACGTATTATTGTATTTCTGGTTGATCGTTGTGAAGGTTTCTTACCAAGTGAGAATGAAACATATTTGCAAGATTAAAAAGAGCTCGTATTTCTTTTTCGCCTTCATGAAGTTCTGAATCAGTCGTTAACTGCCACCAGAATATGACATAAGTTGTTATAAATGAAAAAAATGTACCCTACTGTTCTCTTGGTTTCGAGTGGAACATACGCTTTCAACACAATACATCTCCACTAAGCGCCATTCTTTGAAGTCTTTTTCAGCTGACTACTCGTCCGCCCATAGGCTGTCATGTCGTCCTCATATAATCGCCTTCTTTCATTTCACTTTAACATACATTTTGAGCGTAAAGCTCAGAGCCATTGTTCGATATATATATATATATATAATGAGCATAAAGCCCATAACCATCTTTCGGGATTTGCCGCCAACCCATAATTTCTAGGAGGCGCTAATCACCGTGGCTGAGGCCAGGTCCTCTCAAAATCCATCCTCTCTACCATAACGCTCCAATCCCGGTGAAGGCGTATATTTCACCTTCTCGAGCAACTAGGGCCTTTCAGTGACTAGCAGCGTCGTGGGCCATTCATAAGACCCTACTTCACGACTTTTATTTATATTTCAAGGGCTGCCGTTTATTTCGGCGAACGACAAGCCATAATTCCACCAGTATTCATGACACCAGTCGTAGCTATATGCCAATGACACTATCCTAGCAGAACCACAACCCGCCACCACAAGTGTTATTTACTTCGAATATTCCAACGCACAGATGGTTCATGAGAAGAATTTGTCATAGTTACCTTCTCCGTTACCTGCAATTGATTGAATTTCTTCACTTTGACATTCAGAGTGCTGGGCAGAAATCACATTGCGTCATAACCGGTCAGCGGACACCGCAATGCTTTGTTTTAATTAGACAGTCGGATTCCCCTGGTGCGTGCCACTTCTGAGTTAGCCGTCGCGCGCCAAACAATGGAAGCACAGCCGCTTGACGCAACGCAGAGCAAGTCCACGCCCGTTGCTAGCCGCACAACACTAACAGCTGAAACCGCCCACAATCGATCGCGGTCAGAGTCCAGTAACTCCACAACAATGCACACCGAAGCACACAAAGCAGCAAAGAAACCAGCCTTCAACTGGACCGACACGTATCTGATCTTGGCCTGTCTGACTCGGCCCACAGAGCCAATCCTTCTCCCAAGGTTACGGATCCAATTTGCCGACTTCCCTTACCCACCCTTATGGATAATCATCAAATTGAACGTTCCATATTCAAATTCCACTAAAGTAATGGCTTGGTGATTGATGTCATCCAAGAGTCTGCTAAGTGGCGTGTGTCCGATCCATCTTCATTTTTCTTCGGGATATCTGTCGTGCAATCAGTTTGTTGATTGGTTCCTTCCAAGGGCTTTGTACACTGAAGGGCTTGAATTCATCTTATCATTTGAGTCGTATATTCTCACTAAAGAACTGGCTTAAACAAGGACAAACAGGAAATGCTTTATCCTCAAACACCTTGTCAATCCTGGACATTAAGCTCGACCCTCATGAATGCTTCACAGTGCTACATACAGAGTTCCTCAGTATCGTACATAGCTAAATCATTAGCTATTAAAGATGGGAAACTGCACCTCAGCGTTTAAAAGCACTACATACATTCACTTGCGCTACCGTGGCCAGAGTAACTTGACTTACTTGCAAATTTCTGATGATATTAGATGACTGAAGGCAATCGGCCCCATAGGAAGCCTCCAACCATCTAATATCATCAATCAATGTACACCGTGATGGATGGTGAGCTACATATAATGGTGCCCACATTGCATAACTGACTTAAAGAATTCAGTTTGCATCAGCGAAAGGACTAGACAAATCACACTGGTCAGTTACTAGTGTCCAATCAAAGTTCCTAAAGTTCCACTGAGAGTTCATAATCGACTAGGTAAGCTGAATCAGGTAAGAAAACAGTTTGTGACAGTGGTTGGCGGTGGCACTCTGTAAATGTGGTGAACTGGAAGAAGAAGTTGGAATTCTTGATTCATCGAATTAGTTCCCATTGGTTGAATGGTCTGAAGATTCGCCCTCAAAACAGGGATGAAACAGCTCTCCAATTACTCACTTCTGGTTTCCCAATAATAACAACTTGGGATTAAGCTTGTATTTAGGTTTTATTTTTAATGACTAACTACCATACTGTGGTTTTATTGACGTCACTCAGATGAGTGACTGATTGCGTAATTTTGTATAGAATAAATACTTGTGAATGCAAATCTTAAGCACTCAGTCAATCCTTTTACAAACATCAGTGAGACCTGTTCAGTAAGAATTCTTTGATGAAATTAAATTCTGAGGACTGCTAATTATTTCTACTTTGATATGTTCATGGAACTTACAGAAGTAGGGGAATCTGTAAAGGTACTAGGTAACGAAAAACTGGGGTATACGAAGACAGACCTGAGATCCAATATCAAAGATGCTTAACTGATATACTAATCCATGACTTTTTCAGTGATGCTGATGTATAATGAAAACTGGCGTGAACTAAAAAAAAAACACACGCTTATCTTCGAAAACTAACCGACTTCAGTGTCAAGGTCCAATCTGCTGGTCCACTTATTGAGTATTTCCTTATTGATGTTGAGATTTTCTGAAAAAGTATTCAAAAATAAATTCATACATGTATATAAATATATATATATTGTCTTCATCCCTGTGCGTTCAGACTTGAACATACGCCCTCATACTAGAGTTTTGAAGCTATAATAGCGGAAGTGTTTTGCTTTGTAGGATGAGGTTTCTAGCTTCCCCGGCAAACTTCCTACCTGTCTAAGTTTATTATTGGTTAGGCAAGGTGTAGAAGCAAGTCGACCAATAAGTGTGCGAGGAATGCAGGCGCAATTGGTGTTCGTTCCACCGCTGAACCCCTGAAGAATATATATTTATATCGTTAGCACAAACTAATCTTCGAATCTTCAAGTGTTGGTTTGTAGGGATTTGATTGGTTACCAGATTTCATCATGAGCTGACATTGGTTAATGAACCATTGGAAAACCTTGCAGTATTGAACACCTCTTTCGTCCTGGTTTGAGACTCTTCATCAGTACGCACTCACTGGGGTTCGAACCCATGACCTTCTGATTACACGGCGAGCTCGTAGACTTTCAAGCCACCGGGACCCATTCGAATGGCCCATGAATTCTAACTTCTGACAGTTATGAGGACAAATACTCGCTTGAGACATTGGCTAGTGGTCGCGCTATGTCGTGAATTGGCAGAAGTTAGAATTCATGAGCCACTGGATCGGGTCCCAGTGGCTTAAAAGACTACGAGCTACGAAGTAGCTCGCCTTGTAACCACAAACACCAGCGGTGCGTACTGATGAAGAGTCCCAAACCAGGATGAAACAGCTGTCCACTACTCTCAGGTTTTCCAATGGTTCGGTAACCAATGTCGGCTGATGATGAAATGCGGTAATCTTTGAATCATATTCACTGTCTAATGGAAACCTTTTCGAGAGAAATTCAACAGCACATCTTGACTTTCCCTAATTTTCTGCATTTCTCTTTATCTGGTCAAACGTTTGCCCATAATCTGTTTTCTTCTCCACCTATGATCTCCTCCATGGTATTTTCAGACCCACACCAAACTCGTTGTTTCCATTCCGGTTCCACTAGACAGTTGGCCTGATGTGCGATGTCATTTGACAGTCTTCTCAGTAGCATGTGTTCAACACACCTCCATTTTCATCTGCATATTGACTGAAAGATAGGTTCCAGATTGGTCGGTTTGTACACATAATTCCTCATTGCTGATACTTTACAATCACCTGACCATTCAGTCTTCAATGTTGAGCGAAGGTGGCACCAGCTGAAAAGAGTCTGCAGTAGCCGATTCGAAATGCTTTTTGTGACGCTCACGCATTATAAGTTTCCAAACTAAATAGAAGCACTGGCTGATTGACTTCTTGATGATGTGAAGTGGGGAAGATTTCCAAACAGATTTCAGAACGATAAAGTTTGGTCTCATCGTTCCAATTCTGGCTTCGACATCTTCATCCGTGCTGTCGTCTGCAGTTGACAGGATGCCATCTAGGTATGTGGAGTGACTGACCTCTTTCAAATTTCTTCCGTTGATGGTGATTGGTTCAGGCTGTTGTTGCTTTTGATTGGTTGATTATCTTCATCACATTCTCCTTCCTCTTTTCTATCTTCACTTGAAGTCTTTGCTGGTTCTTCTGCAAACTTGTTGGTTTTTGTCTGAAAGTCTCTGAGTTTGTGTGACACTAGACACAATCTTCAAGTATTGTTTTTGTAGGGACTTTGTGTGATTGGATGGAGGATTTCATCATAAGCTGACATCAGTTAGAGAACCACTGGAAAGACCTGGGAGTAATGGACAGCTGTTTCATCCTGGTTTGGAGTTCTAGTGGGAAGCCGTGACCAGTAGGGTACAGAAGGTTGAAGATGAAGCGGTAACTCATCGAAAAAGACATTGGGAAATGGTTGTGCTATGCGGTGAATTGGTAGAATTCATGGGTTGGCCATTGGATCGGGTCCCAGTGTCTCAATGATCTATGAGCTCGCCTTATAATTAGAAGGTCCTGGGATCGAACTCCATTAGGTGCGTTTCGCTGGGGCAGTAAACTAGAATATAATTCCATAAATGATGTGTCTATAGGAAATGAAAATGCAGTGATACCGAACTAATAACTGAATGCTGTTTTGAGCAGAATTTATTGTTTACACTCGAATCGGTTTATTCATAGAACTTCGTAACTTGATTTACCTAGGTATCTGCATTCTGATAACCTAACTCAAGCCCTTCTAATAGTCTGATCTGTAAAACTGACCTCACAGTCATTGTCTTGGATATAGCATCCTTTACAACAATTTGAACAATTGATTGGACAAAGTTTATCTCCGAGTGAACTGGTTGATTTAGATGCCCTTCTCCATTTATTCGATAGAATTTTCCATGTATCTTGTAATGTTGTATCATACTGAATTCTGATTGATTGATGGCTGGCTCGTTAAATAAACTCTTCCTCCAACCTAATGGATTCTTAAATGACTAACACTCATATTTTTATGAGTTCATCACAGATTGATATCAGTCACAGAAACATTGAAAAAAAACAAGGGTTACTGGACAGCTAATTCATCGCCCTAGTTTGAGAATAATCGACAGTACACACCCACCCCCCTGTTCGAAACCAGGAGCTTCCGGTGAAAAGTCAAGATCGCATAACACTCAGCCACCTACACGTGACTCCTCAATGCCCAGCCGATGAATTCTAACTTCTACCAACTCGTGACTTATGGCGACCACCAACCACTGTTTGATGCTCACTAGTGATTTGCTGTAGGACTGAGTATCCTGGAGTTCTGGTGAGAAGTCATGACCAGTCAGGTCCATCCATATGTCACATGTAATGATGGATGTCCTACCGACGACATTGGTTGGTGCAAGTCGCTCTAAACCACGAGTTAGTGGAAGTTAGAATTCATCGGCTGGCCACTGAGGAGTCAGGTCTCCCAGTGAGACAGTATTATTTACTGGATGACGTTTCGAACAAAATTTATTGTGGTTCATAATCTTATCAATTGTAATCACACGACTTCGAAACTTGAGTTTTATAGTTTACTTTGTCCTCTCCGATTTGTCGTCGTAGGGGTAGTAGAATTTTCCAGATATCTGAGACAGGTGATGAATCATTCCTATTACATGTATTTGCAGTTGATTCGATAAACAAAATTTTATGTTATCAATCTCTCCCTATACCCTGTGACATTAGATTTTGAAACTGTCATCCTATCTCATCCATCCTATTGTATGGTTGTGTGTAATTGCATGTAGTGCTATCTACGTCTGAACTATTCTCTAGATTTCTTATCTTATTCAGGTTAACCAATCTAGATTTTGCTAAGTTTTTATGTTCAGCTAGTCTGACTGCCCCTATTCTACTACTTTGATCTATGCATTTGACCTGACAACCATTACAGCAGGGTATCAGGTAAACTAAATTGCTCTGTTTTAAAGGCTCCACAGGATCGATCCTTTAACCGACAAAGCTTGCTTCTAATTGAGTATTTTTGTTTGAATACTAGCCACTTGTATTCCTGCTTTATTAAGAATTCTCCGGCGTAAGGTTTCCGAGGTTCCTTCCTTGTATGGAATTACTACTGACGACTTAGCTTCCTTACTGTTGGTGTCGTCATTAATATTATGATTAGTATCACTATTATTATTATCATTATAATTGTTATCATTATCATTGTTATTATCACCTTCGCTATTATCATTATTTATTTTATTTTTACATTTCCTTTACATATTTCCTGACTAATTTATCCGGGTAATTATTAAGTTTCTAGGCTTCTTTCATGTGTATCCGTTCCTGTTTTAGATCTTCATTGTTACTACTTAGTTTTTGTGCTCTGTCAATTAAACATTTCACTAATCCTACTTTTACTGACATAGGGTGAGATGATCGGAAGTTCAAATATCTGTTTAAATGTGTGTACAGGGTATAGGGAGAGATTGATAACATAAAATTTTGTTTATCGAATCAACTGCAAATACATGTAATAGGAATGATTCATCACCTGTCCTAGATATCTGGAAAATTCTACTACGACGACAAATAGGAGAGGACAAAGTAAACTATAAAACTCAAGTTTCGAAGTAGTGTGATTACAATTGATAAGATTATGAACCACAATAAATTTTGTTCGCAACTGTGTCATCCATTAAATAATACTGTTTCTTTACTGTGTGATATATCTAATAAACAAACTAATATGGAATTACCTACTTCCACAGTGCCCAAGTTTCACACATATATTAATATGACTTCGAGTCAGGTCTCATTGGCTGAATTGTGCACGAGCTTGACTTGTCACCGGAAGTTCCTCGTTTCGAACAGTGTTGGTGTGTGTGAACTGCTGATGATTCTCAAACTAGTATAAAACACCAGGTTGTCCAGTAGTCCCCGGTGGGTTTTCAATGGTTCTGTAACTGATATCAATCCGTGATCAGCTCGTGATAACAAATCTAATCCTTACAAACCAACCATAGAAAATTAAAAAACTCACATGTCCTTGCAGACAAGGCCATACACATCAATGATGAATGGTTTTTTACCTAACAAAATTTGATGTGACCAAGTCCAGTCTACCATTCTAAATCCATCTGAATTACTGTGCCTTTTATTTTATGGAAGGAATTTCACCCATGTAGTACAGTACTGAATCCAATATTCTCATCACAGGAATAATAATTAAAACAGATCATATTATTAAATTAGAATATAAATATAAAATTCGAGTGAATCTATTTGAACAACACTATGATAATAAATGTTTTGAAACTGTTAAAAATGAATTTGCTCTGGACATATATGAGGTAATGATTCTGGTTTCATAACTTGAAGCGCCTGGTGACATATAAGGCACAATTTATACACTGCTCATAATCATATGAAGGTATTCAGAAAACTTTCTAACTGCGTTCACATGATTCCACTATTTGTCGAGGTTGACAAAATTTATCAACCGATAAAAAAGAAACCTCACACACAAAGGGCCAAAGTTCAAGTCAAAGAAACCATCAGTTACAATACAAGTAGCCTAGAAGGTGTGAAAACGCACAAAAACAACTAATCACGTTCAAGTTCACCGGGAGAGATGATTAATAAACTCGTGGAGAAATCTAAAAGCTCACTTCAAAGAATTGAAGTATGCGCGGAGGTGTCACCTAGTAGGGTGATGAAAGCTTCGCAAATTATCTATCCAGCTCAGAGAATACAACCACATCAAAATCATCCACCTGAGCTACATATCTTCACCATTGCATGCTGTTGCACGTGTTTGGTGTAGACTCAATGAACAAGGATTCAGTAATCAACCTCTCCCTCTCTCCACCTACCCATATTACTTTATAGTATGTTAATCCTCTCCCACCATGCTATTGTTTGGTTGTGGGTTAATGCATGCATTGCGATTGCTGAGCTTTTTTCTAAATTACTTATCTTCTCTGGGTCAACCATTCTTACCTTAGCTAAATTCTTATGTTCTGACAATCTGACTACTTCCGACCTTCCAGTCTGACCAATGTAGTTGACCTCACAGTCATTGCAAGGTATTTTGGAAATTATATTACTTACTCTAATTGGGTCAACCTACAGAGTCCTTTAACCTACAGAGCTTATCCTACCTCAGTGAGTTTGTAGGTTTGAATGGTACCCTAATTCCTGCTTTATTTGGAATCCTACGTAGAGTCTCGTATAACTGTAGATGACTTATATTCTCTCCTATTAATGTTATTACTACCAGTCGGTGGCACAGTGGATAGGACTCCATGGGTTTCAATGATCCCTGGTTTCTGAGGCAATCTAGCTTTCAATGGTAAGTTTTCACTATAGTCTCCACCAAAAACCGGGGAAAATTTTGAATAAAACAAATGCTTACCAGACATATAGGTATCTAATTGAGAGGGCGTTCTGGCGGCTTTTGCATATTCCTCTATTTTGATATTGAATAGAGAAAATTAATTGATCATTGAAATCTGAGACAGTAAGTGAACACATAGTACAGAAATTCTCAGTGTTGGATGAATGTGTGAAGAATAAACTGTCGCTTTGAACAGGCCACTTCGCAATGTGTGCTTATAATTTCACATGCTCGTGTGGAGCTATTTATATTGGCCTCATAAACCGGCTGCACACTTTCCAAACGCATCTCTGAACATTATGCGTCATGGTTAGCAAAAGGGCAATTCAAGACAATTACTTGCTCAATTCTTGAGCACTTGATGAACTCAAGCCACACAGCTCCACCACAGTCCGTCTTTCACGATCATCTAAAAGGTTAGGCCTAATGGTACAAAAGGCGTTAATTTTTGGATTTTGTGTATGGCGGGGTCGCTGGTAGTTCGTCAATGCAAGTTCGAACTTTGTGTACAGAAGACGTTTGTCCAGTTTCTTATTCTATCTTGGTCTTAACCTCTTCACTAGTGGTTCCCTATAAAAAAAGTTTCATTTTTTAAGTTTCAATTTTACTTTTAGTTTGCTTTAGCTTTATTAATTAATTCATTTTTATCACTTTCATATGTTCTTTTTGTACACTTTCACACCCTTATCACACTTGTTAAATTGACATTCAACTACCACCTTTATTCTCACGCAATAACAATTTTTACCTTATCAAACTTCGAACTTTGTGCCATTGTTAAGTAACACGTAATTTACAACTTTTATTTATTACTTCTAAAGCCAATTCTGAGTAATTATGTCGCCCAGTCTCCTATTACTCAATAATAGACTACTATACATTTTTATTAAATATATATATGACTGTACAGCCTTTGAAAATGATCTGGTCGATGAAGAAGCATTTCCTTTGCTGAATTTGTCTACTGTTTTCTTCATGACTCAATGGATATTTTCGGTAATCCTCAGTGTTTTCACGAGTTGATCATGGATTGATATCAGTCACAGAACCATTGAAAACCAGACAGTACTAGATAGTTGTTCCATCATAGTTTTAGAATGATCGGTAGTACGCATTTACTGCCAGGGTTTGAACCCAGGACCTTCTGGTTACAATTTCAATCCGTCATCAACTCTTAAAAACAAAACTAACTCCTACAAACTGAACTTTAGAAAATTAATCTGATACTCGCTAGTGACTTGCTACTGGATGGAGTTTCCTGGAGTTCTAGTGAGAAGTCACGACTAGTGAGATCCATTCAGATGTCAGATATGAGGATGGATGTCCCATCGACGATATTGGTTGGTGCAAGTCGCTCTAAATCACGAGTTGATAGAAGTTGGAATTCATAGACTGGCCTTTGAGGAGTCGGGTTCCAGTGGCTGAGTTGTATAAGAGGTTGACTTGTCACCGGAAGTTTCTGGTTTCGAACAGTGTTAGTGGGTGTGAACTGCAGATGATTCTCAAACTAGTATAAAACACCAGGTTGTCCAGTACTCCCCGGTGGGTTTTCAATGGTTCTGTAACTGATATCAATCCGTGATCACCTCGTAAAACAAATCTAATCTATGGAAACCAACTCTTTATATTTGAAATATATCGCATTTAATATTTTATGAATGAAATTACCTTCACTTTGTTGTTGTAAAAATCTGTTTCTCGGATCAACACCTGCATCAAATCATCAATAAATAGACGTTTAGACTGGATAAAAGTAACATTATGCAATGAAATTATGCAATGAGAACAACTGAAATTAAATAGTGCTGTATAGCTGTTTCTTCCTAGACTAAGAAAGACTTTTCAGCAGCAGATATCTCTAATCTTCCTAGTGATCAACTTCAGGAGCTACAGATTATGAGGCTAGCCCACTGACGACTATTCAACCACCGGCCTATGAATTTGAAATTCGAGCATACGTTGAGAAAACTGTCTAGTGACATCGCGCGCCGGGCAGTTACTCGAGTGGAATCCAAATAAGAAGTGACTAGTGGGTCGTTCTAGGGTGACATAGAAGAGATCGTGTAAGGAAGAGATATGCATTCCTTCAAGATTTGCAGATTGTTCAACAAATTCAATAAGTTGAAGGTTGCCAGTAATACTTTGATCAATTGATGGCTAAAATTTCTTTGCATATGAGGTTGCTTTCTTGGTCTAGTCACCTGGTGGCTAATATTTTACTCTATGAATGCGATTTATTACTCTTAATCATATCAATGTTTTCACAAGGCTTTTATCTTCCTCTTTATTATTCATCGTAATTTTTTTCTATCCCGTACAGTCGTTGAATCATTTAGACCTCGTGTGTGTACTTTGATTGGACGTTAGTAAATGACCAGTGTGATGTGTCTGGTCCTTTCGTCGATGCAGACTGAACTCTATCAGTCAGGTTTTCATTATGACCACCATTCCAGATAGTTCGCCATCATAATGCATATTGATTTGATGATATTAGATGGTCGGAGGTGATTGGCTTCACAGGAAGCCTTGCCTAACCTAGATTTCGTGCTAGTTGGCGCTCAAATCAATGTCCACTGTGATGGCGAGCTATGTAGAATGGTGGCCACATTGCATAGAATTCTGTCTGTACCAACGAAAGGACTAGACACATCACACTGGTCAATTACTAGTGTCCAATCAAAGTATCCAATACAGTCATACAGAAGATCAGTCGCAAGCCCGAATAGCTCAGTGGTAAACTGTCGGACTTCAGGCGGTACTGAGTGACGCGGGTTCGAAACTCAGAGGAGACATGAGTTCCATCAAGATTACAGAAGCGCCTTGCTGACTGTTGAGTGTCAACTAGCACGAAACCTAGTTCAGGCAAGGTTTCCTGTGGAACCGATTGCCTCCAACCACCCAATATCGTTCATGACCTCATGCGTGTTTACTACTGTCAGCATAAAGCACCTGATAGATCCGCTTGAGAAAAATAATATAATTTAACCAAACACCATGTAATAACTGTGAGATTGATTGTATAGATAACACTAATAGACTAGGATCAATCAGAGGATCGGAACACAGGAATTTCTAGAGGGTAGTTAGTACGGAGTACTTGGTAACTATTTCGTCAGGACCTAGGACCATCCAGTTTCAAGGTAAAGCCAAAGTCGTATGAATATATACGAGCAATGCATTGATCTGGAAACCTCATACAGTTAGTAATACAATATCAAATTTTTAAATCTTTCCATTATTATTATTATTATTATTAGAACAAGACATATAAGCGAACAGTTTTGTCATTTTTAATTAGATCTTCTTCAAGCTTTACCCTAATATACATTGATTTATATACAAAACAGCATTTCTCCAATGACGGTGAGTTTGTGGAACAAATAATAATAATGTGTTAAATGTTTTGAACGTCAGCAGCAACGATGATTGTAATGACAGCCAAACGGAGGATAGGCGAATGTTCCTGAAACTGCTATTCAATGGGGACTTGGCTGGTGAAGTCTTACATCTAACTTTATCGAGAGCAATAAAACGGATTTATACTGCCGCCAACCTTTGTTTCTTGTTCTTCAGACAAGCAAATATGATCGCTCAAGCAAAAGACAAGCTGCCTAGCTGTCCCACTTCTGTATGTATCTACAAATTTAACTGATCCTGCGGAGAGAGCTATACAGGGTGAACAACTAGACAGCTCAAGAAATGTATTAATGTGCATCTTCCTTAGTGGTTCTGTAAAGGCCAAGTGGTATATATAAGAAGTTCCATTTTATGTTCTTTTATTGATAGTGGTCACCAAGTGGACAGAATAAGTGCCTTCAAAGTTATCTGTCGCATTCCATTAAACCTTTGGAACCCGACTTTCACACATAGCCGAAGCTATGTGAACTAATTCTGGAGGACAGTCGTAGTGCCTTTGAATGTAAAAGATGTTTTTTGTACCCTTATCTCTCCCCTGGTTGTCATCAATTGTAATTGAAGCCCTCCCACCCTTTTTATTTTCCATTTTCCTCGTGTTTTATGATATTTATTTAAATTCTGATTATCTATCCACTTCACCTTTATTATTACATAACTTCTAAGATTTGACCTAATTCATTTATTGAATTGTCTACATATACGCATATCACCCACTATCTTCGTTATTCTTATCGCTACCTGCATAAACCTTATTATCAATATTTTTGCTATCATTATAATCATCACTGTTACTGACGTTCAAAACATTTAACACATTATTATCATTGGAGAAATGCTGTTTTGTATATAAATCAATGTATATTAGGGTAAAGCTTGTAGAAGATCTAATTAAAAATGACAAAACTGTTCGCTTATATGTCTTGTTCTATTATTGCATCACTCACTGCATTTCATATAAAGGTATTTTCAACGATTATAAGGAAAAAAGTAGTTCTTAAATTAGATGATTGAGTATGGCTCACGTCTAACATAATCTCTAAACCATCCAGCTTCGTGTATAGCCTCCAATCGTTTGACCTCTTCAAAAGGAAAAAAAATATACGTAGAAAATATCATTCAGATGTATATTTTGATCAAAGGGGTGTCGCCAGTAATTATACAACTGATCTAACAGTTGTACGACAGTGCTGCATGCCAAGTAATCCACAACATGAAATTCACGGAATCCTTCGAAGAAGTGAAGACCGGAGTAAGACTAGCTGGCTGGCTGTCTACTATCTCGAATGATTTTCCTGATTGCTATAGGCTGGACAATGCGACAGAGAGAGATAAGTAAGGAAACAGGCATAAAATGGACTTACACAGAAAACTTCGAGGATCTAGCTTTCGCCGACGATATATGTCCGATTCCCCACAAACTGGTATATATGCAAGTGAAAATCAACAAGTTGGCAGAAGAATCATCCATGGAAGATAGGAAGGACTTCAGGTGAACGTAGAGAAAGCAGAGGTGATGAAGATTCCTGGCCAACAGCAACAGCAACAACAACACACAACAATCAGCCAGCAAAGATGGGAGAAATCTGAAAGTAGCCACCTCCTACCTACCTGTGAAGCATCGTTTCAACTACAGGCGGACAGAACTGATGAGGATATCAAAGCAGCGAGGATCGGGAAAGGAAGGTAAACTTTCATTTCTCTCAAGTCTGTGTGGAGGTCAACAGCACTCAGCATGAAAATGTAAATAAGATCTGGATTTTCAACTCCAATGTGAAATTATTGATACTTACCATACGGATCAGAGACTTGGCGCGTTATGAAGAGCACTTCGAACAAACTACACACATTCATCAACATCTGTCTTCGTTCAATACTCCGCTCAAGATCAGATAGCCGGCCAGAAGATACCAACAACAGGGATCTCTGGCAGCGAACGAACCCAGCAGGAACCGATTGTACACAAAATAAGCAGGAAGGAATGGAGGTGGATTGGCTAGATATACTCTGAGAAAACAGTCAACTGACGTCACACTCCAAGCCTTAACTCCACTAGAACCCAAGCGGGAAGCGGCGAGTAAGTCGTTCAAGGGTGACACAGAGAAGGTCATGTGAAGAGGAGATGAAAGCACGTGGGCAGATGTGAAGCCAGGTTAGATAAACGTTGGCAGAGAACCGAACGCAATGGAGACGTGCAGCTGATCTCTTCATCTCATGTCCGTTCGTGATGAAAATTTGAAAAATTAGAATTCATATAGAATCCTTCTTTTTTCATTCTTTTAAGTCCCTAGTTGAAAATAGAACCTCAGGCCAGAGGTGTGAAGTTTCGATAGCTGTGGTGTTTATATTTACGGCATGGGGTTGCTGGTCTTATGCCCAACCTTTTCTATTTACCAGTCTTATTACTGACTTAGAGCGGTAAAGGAGTGTGCCGGCCCGGGATTGAACCTTGAACCACCTGCGTGGTTGGCGAGCATTCCACCCATGTGCCACCTTAAAAAATCCCATAATCGTTATATCGAGTCGTCGTTTTATTTATTTATTTAACTCAGTTATTCATCTCACCGTTTTTGAACCATCTGTCACCATTTTCCGTATTATAAGATGCTGCTTTTTCGCGTCTGGAGACTAAATGCAGTTAAAAAACACACAGAAAGTTATGAGTACTTGAGATTATTCTTCTATCCTCTATATGGAAAATATACCTGTTATTTTGGGAAATATCCTATCTGAATATATATATGTAAATATATATATATATATATATATATGTAGAGAGAGAAAGACACTGGCAATAACTGACTCAGGATGAAGAGATTCTTTTCAAATGATTTGTTATTATAATATATTTATAAACCTGGGCACTGTGGCATTATTTAACTCCATAATATTTTTATTGATTAGATATTTCACACACACATTGTGAAACAATATTATGTTTTGAACACAATTCATTCTTGTTCATAATCCCACCATCAACTCTAACCACACAGTTTAGAAACTTCACTTTTATAGTTCAATTTGCTCCTTCCAGTTTATGGTAGGGATGAGAGAAATTCCCTGGGACAGATGTGGGATCACTCCTGGTGTTCCTACTCTCAGTTCATTTGATGAATAAAGTTCCCGTTATCAGTCTCTCAACTGTGTTTAGTCAAATTGCATAAAGTGCTATAGCTATGCTATCTTCCTGATTTCTTATCTCATTAAGGTCAACTAACCTAGATTTTGTTAGACTGTTGTGCTCCGCCAATCCCATTGAACCCATCCTACTACTCCACAGGATTGA